GATGAAAACCAAAAATGCGTTTTTCCCCCAGCTAACAGTTCAGTACCCTTTATAGATGGGAAAGAGCAGCGTTGGAAATTAGGTTCTGATGAATCCACGGTAGCAATGCGCATCCTGTTCCGTTTGGAAGCTTTTTAGCGATCGATAAATGGCTAGAAATGAATAGCTTGTGACTTGAAATCAGACGCAGCTTTTTCAGTACTTTTAGAAATACCCCGGCTTTGGAATCCGGGCTTGTCCCCTAGGGAATTTAGCGGAAAAATAATTGGTCCTTCTTAATTTCCGGCTTCAGAAAGGCTTCAAGCTACGAAAGCATGCTATATTTTGAACGCCAACAAACGCTTTCAGGCCCGATTTTTTTTCTGTACGGCACCTTCTAGCTGGTTTTTTTACAACCCGGCCGTTCAGCGTCTGCTTTTGTTGTTTTGCTTCAGCAGATTGTTGGGGAGGCACAGGTAATTAATCCCCATTCTTGGTGCCTCTCTCCACCCATTCGAGATTCGCCTCCTCATCCTTTCCGCTTCGTTCAACCCCCGAAATGCGGCATTCCGAATTCCCGCCCGCGCGCGTCCCACAAATTATCCGCCTCGTCGTTTATTGACGTGCCGTCCCGCCGAGGCGCTGCGACTTTTTTGTAGCGTTGTGTGAATATTTGACGGCAATCCGGTGCGGCAACCGGAAAATAGAACACTCGCTTTTGAAGGGAATTTGGAGGATATTTGCGCGGGTCTTGTGGCTTTTGTTATAAGAAGATGATCTATCATTTTCTTCTTAGAAAAAGGCACGAATTTCGCTCTTTTCCCTGTTTTCAAGGTCCCTGTTTTCCTCCGTGTTGCTGATTCCCAGCGGCAGGGGCGTAGCCAGAAAAAAATTTCGGGGGGGGCCCCGAAAAAATTTTTCCGAAAAACTCAAAAAAATTAAGGCAAAAACAGCGCCGCAGGCGAAAAATTTTGGAAAAAGGGTTGCATAGCTCTAAAAATAGCAGTAAAAACGTGTAAAAATAGCGCCGCAGGCAGCAAAATTTTTGAGAAAATAAAAATCATAAGGGTCCCCCCTTATGAAATTTTCGGGCCCCGGCCGATTTCGGGGGCCCGGGCCCAGGGGGCCCACCTTACGCTACGTCCCTGCCCAGCGGTGTCCAATTTTCCGATTATTCAAAAGTACGCGATTCTTGGATGAGAGCGCCCCTGAATTCACGTAATTCCCCCAATTATTTCAAATTCCCCCTTCGGATTTTTGAGCAGGCGGATAGCGTGTGAATCCTACGACGCTCGCCCCCCGAACGCTTGTCACACGCCGGCGGCTCTAAACATATTGTGAAAAATCGGGTCCCGTTTTGGGTACTGGACTGTTAGCGGGGGGACTAATCTGTTGATAATGTATTTTTATCGTATTTATAGTAGTTTTTCTTTGCTAAAAAGTTAAAGATCTTATTTTTTTCATCGTTTTTTTTGCCAGTTTTTCGTATATGTTTGACAGAAAAATATAAAATGAAAAGTAAAATATTCAAAGTATCTATATAGTAAGTAGAAATCAATATTCAAATTTATATACTAACCAGCGGGGGAGGAGCCGCTTCGCGACTCTCCCCCGCTGGACCCCGTCTAGGCGCCATGAATTTGGCGCCTTTCCAAATCACGTCGCCCAGGTGAAGCAATTTGTTCGGTCTCTTGATACTAATAATTATAAAATTACAACCTTTCGAAAAAAAGACTGTCATAGCTCACAGACTAAAAAATTCGAAGACAGCCCTCTTCTTTTGGCCTGCGGCGCTAGCTACCAATACTCTTTCTTTTCTGGAGCCTGCGACGCAACCTTCTGCGGATAGCTTCGACTTAAGCCTGCGGCGCAAACTTGAGCTTGGGGTCATTCCTTGTCCTGCGGTGCAAAATTCTACTTCTAGCCCCGTCCTTTGGCCTGCAGCGCATAATTGAGAGGGCAGCTTCATTCTTTAGCCTGCGGCGCTAGCTTGAGCGGCCAGCTTCGTTCTAAAGCCTGCGGCGCTAGCTTGAGCGGCTAGCTTCGTTCTAAAGCCTGCGGCGCTAGCTTGAGCGGCTAGCTTCGTTCTAAAGCCTGCGGCGCTAGCTTGAGCGGCTAGCTTCGTTCTAAAGCCTGCGGCGCTAGCTTGAGCGGCTAGCTTCGTTCTAAAGCCTGCGGCGCTAGCTTGAGCGGCCAGCTTCGTTCCAAAGCCTGCGGGGCAAGCTTGAGCGGTCAGCGCGAATAGCTAGCTTGTGAGGTAAGCTTCGTGCTGAAGCCTGCGACGCTAGTTTACACGCTAGCTATAACCCTCGGCTTGCGCAGCCACTCCCTTGTAAAGCTGGCGGCGCTAGCTTAAGCTGCTAGCTTCATCGCTAGCCTGCGGCGCCGGCTTGAGAGGGTAGCTTGATAATAACGCTTCTCTGCACGGAAATGCACTCCGAAACAAAATTTCCGAGCAAAAAGCAAAACACCTTCGATAGCCGGGGATCGAACCCCCGATGGTTAGCTTGCCACGCCGAAGCTATAACCACTACACCATGAAAGGCCTAGCAGCACGCGCGATACACGGCTTTTCTGCCTCAAGAGGACTGCCCGGGGCCGGGGAAGGAAAGGCATCAAGAGGCAGCTCCAAAGAGACGACCAAACTCGCGAGTGCAACTGGCAAGAATGAGGAAATTTGTATTTTTTCACATTATGCAAATTAGCCCGCCCGGACCCCCAAAAATCAATAAAACCGGCTTTAACTTTGTAAACTTGTATTTTATCGGGATTCTGAAAGCGCCATCGGAAAGAGGAGGGTCGATTCCCCCGGGTGACGGAGAATTAGGGCATTTTGGACACGGGAAGGCCCTCAAATCGAGCCTCGAAACTGACCTCCGCACACACACACAGACAAAGATACGCGACCAAATTATATAAGGTAGGAATTGTTGTTTGAGAGGTTACCCGGATTTTGCTTGTTTTTGGCGGAACTTTTTTATTTTAGCTTGGTTTGGGCTCAAATTGAAAATCGGAGTGTCTTTTTTCGACGCTCTATCGAATGATATTTTTAAATTTTCGCAAAAATGAAAATATCGAAATTCTTTTACTATTATCGATTGTTCTAATAGATTTATAGTCTATATTATATGAGAGTATTTTGCGCTGTAAATAAACCTCGTAGTTTATTTTGCAATGCTCTATCGAATGGCGTCGAGAAATTCCCGACAAAATACCGAAAACATCGAAATTCTTGAGACCCTCTGGCCCCGGTAAACTAAACCTTAGCCTCCGTTTTAACCTCTGTCTAAATACAAGTTATTAGGGTTTTTTGGCATCACAACTTCGAGTGGAGACCCCGGTAATTTGCTAGGTGGTGGCCAGGGCCGTAACAAACCCAAATTTCGGGGGGGGGGCGACCCCAAAATTTTTTCACTAATATGACTAAAATTACAGCGCCGCAGGCAAAATTTTTGAAAACATAGGGGTTATAACACTAAAACTAGTGTTAAAAATAGCCAAAACCAGCGCCGCAGGCAAAAAAATTTTTGGAAAAATCAAATCATAAGGGTCCCCCCTTATGAACTTTTCGGCCTTCGGCCGATTTCGGGGGCGGCCCGCCCTCTCGCCCCTCTTACGGGCCTGGTGGTGGCCCTCTGACTGATGACTGCTCGTTGCTCCCTAATTTGGGCTCCTAGATTCCCTAGAATAATTGCAGGGGCTGTGTGGCCGGGAGGTGGGCCATGATTGGAAAAGTTGGCCATTTCCCGCCCAAATACAGGTGTGACCCGGGGGCCCTGGTAACCGCCCGAAGGGGTAGTTCGCCATCATTTTTCAGGCTTTGATCTGGCTACGCTTATTTTAAGGGTGTAGGGTTGTAGGGTATTTTAGAAACTTGCGGTAGGCCAGACTATTATCGATTTTTAAAATAGATTTTAGGGTAAATTGGCGTAACTGGGAATTTCTTAGAAGTTGAGCTGGCTAGGCTTATGTTCAGGATATCAGTTCGGTATCACGAGATTTTCGTAGTATATTTAACGATTATGGATTTTTCTATTAGTTTGGTCTAACTCGTAATTTTTTGAACATTAAGCGGCCTACCCTTATTTTAAGGGGCTATAATCGTTTTTTTCTAAGCGATTTGGGGTTGTTTGAGAGGGACTGGACTGTTAGCGGTGGTGCGAAATATAGCATTATAGCACTTCAACATTTTTAGAAACCAAAAAGCTCATGAAAGAAATTATAAAATCTTCGAAAATTTTTGATTTGCTTTGCCAAAAAGCATGAAAAATGGCGAAAAGAGGTCAAAATCTGCGGATTTTGAAGATTTTTAAATTATTTTTTACAACTTTCTAGCAGGCAAAAACTACTAAAACCTTATAAGAATGCACTATATATTACTAACAGGTAGGTTAGGCGGAAAATAGAAAAAATGGCTTCCCCTAACTCCTTTTTTCTGATTTTGTTTCCCTTCTCCATTTTCAATTTTTTTGATGAGTCGTTTAGATCCAACAACTGTTTTAAAAGCTGTAAAACTGGTTTGTATTTCGCTATAGGGTCGTCCGGGATTGCTAGGAAAAATCGGGTGCCCCCGCTAAGAGTCCAGTACCGTTTAGTATCTCTCATTTGCCAAAAATGCTCAGCGACAGTCAATATCTTTCGTCATCCCCTCCATGTGCCCCTTATTACCCGGCCCAACGGCGGTCTTAAAGTCAGCCGGCTCTCGATTTACACCTGTCCACGTTGTCAAGCCCCCGCCAATCACATTCCCACACTCCTCACCACCTTCCCTTCTAGAACTTCCTCCATTTGACTTCGGAATTTTGGCGTTTTGTCAGGGGCTCGGTTCCGGGGGTGCGATAAACCCAGGAAGCGTCCCTAGCGCGAGGGAAACGCATTTTCGCGCGCCGATTCGCCACCCAATTAATTTACCTAGCAATCGGTACATTGTGTTGCTTTGTATTGGTCAAAAACGGGCATTTAAAAAGTTCATTTCAGACCAAAATTGCTTCTGCGCGGCCCCCGTAGATGCGGTAGGGCGAATGGGCGCCTCGCTATGCAAGCCGAAGAAGAAGAAGGTGGGGTTGGATCGATTTTCCGCTAGATGCCGGAATGGATGATTGAAATCTTCAAAATTTATTTTTTATTTTTTTTACAGCAAGTCGGCTCATCGTGGGTGGGCAACGAGAGCGAGAACCCGTTCGACCTCGGGCTCAATAAGAAGGAGCGCGTGTGTTTGAGGGAGACGTATATGGTAAGTTACTTACTTTTAACGCATTACTTGCTAATTCTGTTACGGTAGAATACGGTTCTTTTGCATTTTCGGGGGGCCTATTTTTTGGATGACCGGGCTAGTAATTTAAGATCTAAGAATACATAATTTTTTAAGGTGCTTTCGCATTAGCGGGGGAGGGGCAAATTTTCTCTTATATGTTCAGAAATGCCTAGTAACTTAATATGACGTATTTTATTGGTGTTTTTTGGTATAATATAGCGATTTTTAAACTAGAAAAGTATCGAAAAACTTTTTAAAAACCGAAATTTTGGCGCAAAATCGGCCATTTTTGATCGAAAACCCCATATTTATTTATTAACAGAAATTTGTAAATTTTTAGCTTCTAGGAATAGTTAAAATAGTTTAGATGAATTTCCGCTATTTTGTTTGAAAAATTGAATCCTGCGCAAAAAATGCCCCCGCCCGCCAATAATGCCAAAATACCAATAATTTCAGCGTCTCCACGACGCGAAGGAGCTGATCGGCATCATCTTCGCCGACATTGTCTTCGACATCGAACCCGATCTCAAAAAGGTAATTGGAGGAGCCGAAACCGGCAATCGATTCCCTGCAGGTGTTCGGCGTCGAGCGGGCGCCCAAGGCGACCATGTCGAAAATGCCGAAATTTGGCGGGCATATCGCCAGGTTTTCCGAGTTTTTGGAGCAGGTAAAAAAAATTGCGATTTTTTAGCGATATGCCCGCGATTCAGGTAACTTCCATGCTCGGTTTTACTGATAATGTAGCCGGGGCCTGGCAGCTGGTGAGGAAAACGGGCAGGAGTCATGTACGTTTGATACGGTGTAGATAGTACTGTAGCGGAAAAGCGTATAATTAATAAATAATATGTAATATGCTAAAAATATAAAAAAATTTTGTATATTTAGGTCCGCCAATCGTTCCTCGAGCAAAACCAGAACCAGATGGGGAAGAATTATTTCCAGATTGTTATTGATAGTTTTATTATCGAGTTTATCCCGTATTTGACGGGGGATAAGGTGAGTTAAAATAGTTTATTTTTATCGTTTGTTATTTATGATAGTAACCAAATGTAATCAAATTAACGATACTTTTTTGATATGCTTTTCATTAAAATAAGGTTTATGAAATAGCGGCACTTTCGCATTATCGGAGGAAAATCCCCAGTTTCTTAGGGACTAATTTGTAAAATACTAATAGCGGAATTTTTTAAGCGCTTGCTTACTATTTTCCTTTACACATTTTACTATCTTACTTTTTCTCACCTTGCAAACTTTATGATAATACCAAAAATATCGATTTTTGCCCAAGATTTCGACTTTTGAAAAAGTTTTGAAATTGTTTTTCTAGCTGAACCATAATATATTTGACTAAAACGTTAATAAAATACTTGGTACCTGCCGCTAGCCGTTTCTAAACTTTTATAGAAGTCTTACCTCCCCCCCCCCCCCCCCGATAACGCTTAAGAACCTAAATACCTAGCTACCAAATTTTCAGGAAGAACCGATGCCAGAAAGTGACAAAAAGAAGGTGCGCTTTGCCCAGAATTACTCACCAACGATGATTTATGACGTCTGGAAAAGGTAGGTTAGACCTAGACTTTCTGCTTTAACTTTAAAGATTTTTTTAAACCAAAAACATCAGGTTCTTCAACATTCTCCTCTCGCAACTCGTCGACTCCTTCGAGCTTGAGCGGACAAAACAACGAAATGCACAGTCTCAAAAAGCCCTCGCACCCCATCAACATGTCGAACAGAGCGAGCGGAAAAAGCGCAAGATTCAGGTGGGAAGAGTAGCGTGGTGGAAATATCTAGGTTATCGATACCTTTAATAACGCAATATTTTACCAAGAACCACTTCATTTTCAGGAAAAAGCGAGCGAGATCGAGAACACGGCCGGGGAGAACGAGCCGAAGGAGCCGGAGCAAATGTTCGAGGACCCGTTCTGAGGGGCAGTTTGTACAAAGCTTTCTGTCTTTGATCTCCGTATTTTTTTGGAAAATGATATTCGGTGCCAAATGGATAAATATTGATACACTGTAAGAAGAGAGAGAGAGAGAGAGAGAGAGAGAGAGAGAGAGAGAGAGAAAGAGGGAGAGAGAGTGAGAGAAACGGAGAACGAGAGAAAATTAGAGGAGAGAGAGAAACAGAGCAAGGGAGAGAGGGAGAGAGATCGAGAGAAACAGAGGGTGAGAGAAAGAGAGAGAGCGAGAGAGAGAGAGAGAGAGAGAGAGAGAGAGAGAGAGAGAGCGAGAGAGCCTGAGAAATGGACAGGAGAGAGAACAGAGAGAGGGAAAGAGGAAGAGAGAGCGAGTGAAACAGAGAGTGAGAGAGAGACAGAGAGAAACAGAGAGAGTAATCCCAAGATTTATTTGAGCTTTGTCAACAGTATTTCGAGGGCCCTCCAGAACCGCAGTATCGACCTGACTTTCCAAGCCATTTTTTAACCTTTTCAAGCCCAGTTTTTCCCTAGGATTTTTAAAAGATGCTACATTTGTTGGGGTCGTTCCCAGCCACGGGCTTTCCCTCTAACGCTTGGGGGTGAATTAATTGGTGCCACATGTGTTTTTCGGCAGCCGGACGGGTGGAAGATGAATGGCTTCTGGGCGGGAGGTGGCGTATCACAGCCGCGCTGTCAGCCTATCAAATATCAATTGGTATTTATAAAATTTCTCCTCTTTAGCTCTCTCTCACTCTCGGTCACTCTCTCTCTCGCTCTCTCTCTCTATCCTTTTCTCTCTCTCTTTCTCTCTCGCATTCTCTCTCATTCTTGGCATTATTCCCCTCCTTCCCCCGTCTCTCTCTCTCTCTCTCTCTCTCACTCCCCCTCTCTCTCGCTCGCTCCTCTCTCTCTCTCTCTCTCTCTCTCTCTCTCTCTCTCTCTCTCTCCCTCTCTCTCTGTCTTATTTCGATTTTCGTCGCATAATTTGGTTTTCTTTTGACTTTTCTTCCTTGGCTGGACGCTGTAAGCTGATCCCCCATTGTCTACTAGTCTTACCTCTTACTCAAAGCACTTCAGCTCGTTCTCAACGCTCTAAGGAATCCCTGAGACTTTTAAAGAGTTATAAAAAGCTCTTTTAACTTTTTTTTCAGCTCACAAATATATTTTCCTCCTATTTTTAGTGTCTTAATCAGTTATTCAACCACGGTTATGGTTATTAGTTTCTAGTAAATGGACGCCAAAGCCTACTTCGGGCACCCGCTCTGGTTTGAAGCGAAGCAGGGCAAGCACTCCGGGCTGGAACTCTCAATTTGGGAGGGAGTATGCGCGGTCCGGGACCAGGAGAAGCTTACGCTTTACAAATTATCTGATGGGCAGTTGCTAGGAATCCGAGTGGATGAGTGGAACGATCACGAGGTGGGCAAGTTGGCAGAGATTATTGAGGAATTGCGGGTGGGGCGGGCAGACTAGCCGAGATTATTGAGGAATTAAACGTTTCGGAAGGGCATACTAGCAGATATCCTGAAGGAATTGGAAGGCGGGGGAGGGGCAAGATAGCAGAGATTCTTTGACGAATGAGAGGAAATCGGCGGCAGGCTAGCAGAGATTCTCTCAAGAGTTGGAGGAGCGAGGCATGCTAGCAAAGATTTTTGAGGAATTAGAAGTGGCCGAAAGGGCATGCTAGCTGAGCTTTTTGATGGGTTGAAGGAGCGAGGGCATGCTAGCAGAGATTCCTAGAGATTTTAGCAAGGATGGAAAGGGCAACGTAACAGATATCTTTGAGGAATGGCAGTTAAGGAACGGCAGGCTAGCAAAGATTTTTGAGGATTCTAGATTTAGATCACCTCCACCGGATACTGGATGTGTGCCGAATTGACGGGAACTTTCCTCGATGGCCGCTCATTTTTCTACCATTGCCAGGGCCCGGGCTACGCGTATGAACTATTGACGGTAGGCCGGAAAACCGTACCTTACAGTGATGAAACACATTTTAGAAACTTTACTTGGAAAGCTCGACAAAAATCCAGAAACTCGCAATACGACTTGATCCGGATCCATTGAGGGAGTGCAGGCAACGATGGATCTTTAGACGGTTGAAGCGATGGAAAGCTTTAGGAAGACGACTACAGGTATAAAGTTTTACTTTATGATTAAGAAGCTTTTATTTGTTGTCACAACGCCTTTAGAACCAAGAAAAAAAACGCAAAACTGCCAAATCACGCCTGAAATTATTTTTTCAGGTCCTCGATCTCACCGTTCTTCTCGATTCAAATATGCCGTTGTGGTAGATTTGTATAAATTTACTGTATTTTTTGGTTTTATTGTATTTATTGCAGCTAATATGTGAAATCACACTAAAGCCGTGGAAAAAAGGACTAAAATCGGACAAAAAAAATGTAGTTTATTAATGCGCCTTCAGCTTGCCGATAGCCTCCTCGAGGGTAGTCATTTCGGCTGCAAAACAAGCATTGATGGGTTAATCATGTAAAATCTATACTTTTAACGTTAGGAAATTTGATTAAACTAATTGCAGACGTTATTTTAGACCGTTTAAAAACCATAACTTTACTTTAACTGGAAATCCTTGACTTTAAATGAATTCAAAAATTGGTATTATTTTGATAGCTTATAAAGCTCTTTTTTACGGCTTTGAAAACCTATATTTTAAATTCTCCTTGAAAGCAAATACCACTAACACTTTTAAAAACTTATAGTATGTTGAAGCAGACGTGCGGCTTCAAAATCGATTCCTAGAATCTGGCTTCAAAATAGATACCTTTGATTTCCTTGGCAAGCCTCTGGATCCCAGCCGCATGATCGAGCGTCTCGATCGTCATCGTGTAGGCGTTGTAGCGAACTTGGAAGGGGCGATCGATGTTGGCGGAGGCCCAAGCCCTGAAGAATTGTTTTTAAAGGGAGGGTGACAGCTCGATTCGACGGCGTAAAGTCAAAATACGACCAGGCTCCGCTACAAGATACGCAGAACCCCCCGTCGACTAATCGATTAGGTTAGGACAACTTCTAAATAATTTGGCTCGGATTTAAAGGGACGCGGACAATTCGCTAAGCCGAAATACAGCTACGCGCCGCTCCAATGTACACCTAACTGCCAATCCTCACCGAATACGCTCGTTAAATCTCCAAAAATCTCCATAAATCCGCCCACTCACTTCAGCTTGTTTTTGGCCGAGGTGAACGAGTCGGCGAGGAAATATCGGGGCTGATATTCCGTGATCGGATACTTTGTCACCGAGGTCACCGACGGCTCGAAGGGAAGCACTTCCGGCTGAATTTTGATCAGCTACCATAGTCCATTTCCATCATACCTTGTCGGAGACGCTGTACTGCAACTCCCCGAAAGAGCTCAACAACCCGGCGCCGAACGCCTTCTTCTCCCCGTTTTGTAGGCACAGCCCGAACTCGACGGTGAACCAGTAGAGCTGAAAATTGGGTGCAAGTTATAGGTTTTGAATTGTAGTTTGTAGGCTCGTTTTTAGCTTAATTCAAATCGTTATCATATAACTTACGGTTGCCAGCTTTTCGATAGCTTCATCTGATGCTCCGAGCGAGGCGAGCCCGATCTCCTGCGAGAATTGGGCAAATTCCATATCGGCAAAGAGCGGCACATGGCCGAGCAGTTCATGGCAGATATCGCTGAAATTAGAGGATGATTATGAAGAAGACGACGAGTTCGGGGCGTTTAGGGGCTCGAAAGAGCTTCAGCAGGTCCAGCTGCCAACGATAGTCAGTGGATCGAAGGAGTTCGAGGTGTTCCAGGAGGTTAGGCAGCGGAGGTTAGAGAGCGCAACAGGTTCAACAAGCCTAAGGAATCGGATGGACAGATATAGGGGAGCAGAGATTTGTGGTCAACACATTCAAGGTGTCCAGCTAGCTGAATATCTCCACAAATCCAAGCAGTTCAAGGCGTTCGGTTAGCCCCGGAGGTGCTTAGAAACCACAAATTCGCAGCACTTGCCACCGACAAGAGAGAAGCTCAAGTATTCTAACCAGATTCGAGAATCGAAGCAGCTCAACGAGATCAAGCAGTTCAAGTGGTTTGACTACAAAGAAACGCACGGTTCCGGTGTGTAGTTGGGGCACGAGTGGTGGCGGATGTATTGGGTGGAGTGGAAGACACGGAAGGCGAGGCCAGCCAAGAAGTCACGCGACGAGAGGAGTCCAGCTACAGGGCGGAGGCAGAAGCCGGTGCAGGCTAAAAAAAGACTCTCTGTCTCTCTCTCTCTCTCTCTCTCTCTCTCTCTTCTCTCTTCTGCCTCCGACTTACTCTTCAAAAATTCCGATATATCCTGGAGTTGCGGTATGGTATCCGGGCTGTATCCACAATTCTGCTCCAGCAACGGGAACACGTAGTTGAACTCGGCGCACGCGTATTTCAGATACAAGCTGACCAGCTCGTTGTAGACCTAAAGTTTCGGATTGCTGGTCTCTCTCTCTTTCACGCTCTCTCTCTATGTCTTCCTCTCTCTCGCGCTCTCTCCCTCTATGTCTTCCTCTCTCTCGCGCTCTCTCTTGCCTTCCTCTCTCGCGCGCTCTCTCTCTCTCTCTGTCTGTCCCTCTCACTCACTCGCTCTCGCTCTCTCTCTCCTATGCGTAAACAAAACCTACCGTACGCCACGTGGCCACCTCCTCGTCGGTGTAGACGACCTTCGGGATCTTTTCACCGCTGGAAAATGGTCAAAAAAATTTCCGGAAATTACTGCTTGTAGTTGAAAGCGATGTCGGCAAATTCCTTGCGGCGCTTACGGTAGACCTCGTCGCGGAAGCCCTAATAGTTCGTTTTTAAAGGGGCTGGGAAGTCCAAAACCCTTGAAATCTACATTTAAAGCGACAGCTAGAAAACATTGAATTTTTACTTAATGGTACCTTGAATCAATAATTTTTCACTTTAAAGGCCCAATAAAGGCAAAAATCTCTAGAAACCAACCGGATGGTCCGAGTCCAATTCTGCTCCATAGCTCAGGATCCGGTTGGCGAACTGGTCGAGGTCGTTGATCTTTTTCGGGTACCAGGGGACGGACTCTGAAACTTTGGACTACAACGGAGTACTATCGACGCACCCATGTTCTGCTTGCTGTTGGTGTTGTAGTCCTGGACGAACATGGTTTCCGCCTTTTTCTTGAACATCTGAAAGAGAGAGTGGAGAGAGCGAGAGAGCGAGAGAAAGAGAGAGCGAGAGACTAGACAGAGCGAGCCACGAGACAGATGGAGAGAGGCAGAGAGAGAGGGAGAGTGAGAGAGAGAGTGAGAGAGAGCTAGAGGGAGCGAGAGAGACAGAGTGAGAGAGAAAACAATACCTACCTGGATAATCCCCTCCACAGCTTTTTGATCGGCTTCCGGCGCGCATTCCACCAGAATATCGTAGCTGCCCTTGTGCGTCTTCGACGGCCTCGATTCGATGTGCGTCAAGTTCACTTTCCGGTCCTAAAATTGCCACTTTTTGGTATGTGTGTTTACTGTATTGGACCAGAAATCGCCGCTTCCGCTTCACTGACCAGCGCCAGGCCCCCCAAAATCGGTAACGCGATCAGGTGACTGACGCTGGATAGCGATACCCGATAGACCTGGGCGAAAAAAATGCAGCTGCGGCCAAAGCACAACATTTTACGAGGTTTTACGATAGGGAGAGAACGGAGGGTCATTTGGCGTTTAACGTACTGAGACTGTTTCCGGGTTTCGGGATGAGGAGGGAGAGAGCGAGAAAGAGAGAGAGAGAGAGAGAGAGAGAGAGAGAGAGAGAGAGAGAGGGAAAGAGAGAGACAAAGCGTAAACTTTCATTAAATGGGTTTAATTAGCATGTCTTTCACTCTTTACGACCGAAAATCGCGACCTTGTCATACCTGAAAAATCTTCAGCGTCTCAGCCAAGGCACCCGGCTCCTCCTTGAGGGTGAACATAATCGACGTATGGCCGGCCGTCGTCGACACGTCAGCGATGTACGAGTCCATCGCATAGCGCTAAAAACGAGCATAACATTGGATAAAAAAAATTAGATGCACGCTGCTCGCCTTGTTAGGCGGAGGGAGCTAGTAGCGGCACCAACCCCGGATCTCGCTTTCTATAACCGGGTTTTAAGAAAAATAAGAAAAATTTCTATAAGAAAAACCGGGTTTTAATGCTAATAGAGTAGTTCCTCTGGAGCTGGGAGCTGGGAGCTGGATGAACAAGGATATAGCCGCGAGAGTTTTGATCATGCTAGCTACAAGCCGTGTAGAATGACCGGTAAATCACCCCCGTGTAGAATGATGCGCCCCTTCTGCTTTAGGACTATCTGGTAGCTAGGAGCTGTTGAAGCTAAAGTCTGTGGAAGCTTGGAGCTGTGAAAGATAACAGCTGTGAATGCTAGGCGCTGAATGGTATACAAAAAGGAATTACGACCGGAATACCGACACGCCAAAATATCGACAATCGAAAAGGAAGAAAAAATGGAATTCCACGCCCTGTGTGTTGACCTGGGGCTGTCAGATATTATTGTCGATATTTTGGTAGTTTTTACAAAATCCATATACAGGCAGCAGGGAGCTAGGGGTTGAACCGAGCTAGGACCCGGAGAGGAGCTGGGAGCTGGAAGCTCGTAGCTCCCAGCTCCCAGCTCCCAGCTGCGCAACTTCCAGCTCCCATGATTACCGTCAAGTCGGCGTCGCTTTGGTTTTGTTCCGGCATTTACAGGCAGCTCAGAAATATTGAGAATCTCGGGTCCAAATCAACAACAAAATCGGCGCCGCCGCCGAGAGTTTCGGATGGCTTTCGACGAAATCGACGCGGATTGGGGTGGAGAAATTGGATGGGTTGATTTTGGTGGGGATGGAAGAAAAGCGCGAATCGCCATCAATCACAATCATTCGATGTGGATAGAAGGATAGACAGACACACACACATAGACAGACTGATTGTGTGGCTGCACAATAATTATCATCGTTTGGTCGCGTGTGTGCGTGGCCTTGTCACGCCTCTGTTTGTCCTGTCCGTGGTGCGCATATTATTTCCGTAGCGCCACGTGCTAGTTGGCTATTGGCCAAATTTCGCAAAAGAGTAAAACCGTCAAAAAACGCTATTCTTGAATTTTATGGCGTAATAGCCTCAATTTTTCACGAATTTGCCGTCGTAATCAGTTGCAGAATGTCCTGGCGGCTTTAAAGAGGCAGTGACACCACCAAAAAATGGCAAATGCAGGGAGAAAGTAAACAACTTAAAAATCTGCCTTCAAACCCCAACATGTACGTGGACACATGGCCAAACTAGTTTTCTGCTTTTGTATCTACATATTTCTATATCTCTCGCTCTCGCTCTCCCTCTCTCCCTCTTTTCTCTCCCTCCCGCTAGCTCTCTTGCTCTCGCGCTCTCACTATATATCTCACTCTCGCTCTCTCGCCGCCTTTAGTTCTACTTTTCTCTCTCTCTCTCTCCTTCTCTGTCGCTCTCTCTCCCTAACTCTCCCTCTCTCTCTCTCTCTCTCTCTCTCTCTCTCTTTATCCCGTTCACACGCTCTGGCTCTATCGCTCTCTCTCCCTAACTCTCCCTCTCTCTCACTCTCACTCTCCCTCTCTCTCTCTCTCTCTCTCTCTCTCTCTCTTTATCCCGTTCACTCGCTCTGGCTCTATCGCTCTCTCCCTAACTCTCCCCCTCTCTCTCTCTCTCTCTCTCTCTCTCTCTCTCTCTCTCTCTTTCTCTCTAGCTCGCTCTCTCTATTACGAGAACTGGCAAGCCCCTTTAAAACGGTAATAACAAGCACGATAGGTATGTGATAAGTACGGTTGAAGAACACGTTACTGGAACTCACAAGCCATTCATCATCCTGCTGGGTATTCGGCGGCGCCATGGTTAGCGACGATCAACGATGGGTTACTGTACTGTAGCAATCCCGAATAGTCAGGTGCCTCTTTTAAAAGCGACTGACTGGTGCGGGGAGGTTGAGTTAGGGCTGTTGCGATTTGATGCGTTCCGGGCGGCTCCACCCCAAAATGTCCGGGTAATTTTCTCCCCCTAGTTTTTTGGGCGCACGCCGATTTCCGAGCACGTGGGGGGGGGGGTAATGTTTTGGGATCAGATCGAGTTGGCATTGGGATCCGGATATGGGCTCTGCAAGGGTTTGGAACTGAGAGAGAAAGAGAGAGAGAGAGAGAGAGAGAGTGAGTGAGAGAGGGGGAGAGAGAGGAAGAGTAAGATAGCGAGCGAGAGAGACAGAGAGTGAGAGAGGGGGAGAGAGAGGAAGAGTAAGATAGCGAGCGAGAGAGACAGAGAGTGAGGTATAGATAGAGGGAGAGCGAGTACAGGGCGATAGTTAGTAAGAGAGAGAGAGAGAGCTACAGAGAGCGAGGGATAGAGAGAGAGGGAGCGAGTGGGAGAGAGATGGCAAATAGAAAGAAAGAGAGAGAAAACGCTGGAGAGACGAAATAGAGACAACTTATATAAAAAACAAAAATTAGGGAAGCAAAGCCTTTTAAAGGTACGTTAAACCCAAAAATCCATAACTCACCGACAGCTGCGGGCTGGTCGGCTCGGCGAACATCTTCTGCTGCTTCTGCTCGGGCGTGCGGCTTCGCTGGCGTTCAATGCCAAATATCGGTGGATGCTGAAAAATGCGCCTATTGCCGTAATGAGAAGTAAAGTAACAAAATCTACCCGTAAAATACGCATATTCGCCTTTAGGTATTAAATAGATAGGCATATACCTACGTACGCGCCAAAAATACGTTGGCCGTACGTAGGACGTCGTATGGCTGGCTACAAGTAGAGATGCGCTCATACGGATATCGCATACGTAATAACGTAATAACGTAAATAACGAAATATTACGTAGGAGAGGCGTAAAATAGTGAACTCACCGGAGGCATCTTTTTGGTGCGTTGATTGCTGTGGTTGTGGCTATGGATATTATGGAGATTGGGGGAATGTGATCAACCCCTTGAGATGGACAGCCATGATAAGATATTGATAATCGTCCACCATTCTCTTCCTCCTCCCCTCCCTTTCCGCACAATGATCATGTGCCCTCGGGGAAGATCCAGGTCTGATGTGATACCAGGCTGTTTTTGATTTCTGATCTCCACGTGGGGTGGAGGGCCGAACGCCCGAGTTGATGCACCATGAAAAAAATTCCGAGACGACAAGAAAATTGTGATCTGAAAATGCAAGTCTCTCTCTCTCTCTCTCTCTCTCTCTCTCTCTCTCTCTCGTTCTCTCGCCCTCTCATTCTCTCGCACATTCTGTCTCTCCCCTCTCTCTCGCTCTCTCACTCACTCTCTCTCATTCTCCCACTCTCTCACGATGCTCTCTCACATTCTCTCCTACTCTCGCTCTCTCTCTCTCTTTCTCTCTGTCTCGTGATCTCTCTATCTCTTTCTCATTCTCAAAATCTTCAAAAAAACTTCGATGCCGGATCTGGGCTTCGCTCGGTTGCAAAACAAAAATTGCCTCCCGTTGCCAATAGCAACTTGGGAAAACGAGTATGCCCGTAAACATGGATGGCTAGCTTTTCGAATTCCACCCCTTTTCTATGCAGTTTTTCATCTCTAAATTTTGGGAAATCTTGCTAGCATATGCAAATCGCGACCTCGTTGAGTACCCCCCACTAACCGGTCCGGCCGTTTTCCAGCCAGCCACCTTGTTTACGGCCAGTTTCCGCTGTGTTTTCTACGTCCAATATGGTTTATATGATGTTAAAGCTTTTCAGACTGTTCGAATCAATACGATACAAGCTTAAATTGAACATTTATACAATATCTATTAACTTTTATTACAGTTTTACGGCGACTTTTGGCCAATTTCACCCCCGGTTTCTGCGCTTTTTTTTGCGTTCAAAGCATTTTAGCTGAAATGGGGGCAGTGCGGTATTGTTTATCGTACAGTTTCGGAATTTATCACCGTTTTAGGGCCATTTTGGCCTATTTTCCAGGCCAAATCGCCTGTGTCATTGTTTGTCCAAAGCTTCGGCCAGCCCGCTCCTAAAAATCGATGTTTGTCAATTCCGTGTTTGGTCAAGGTGCGGACGGGCTCGAGCACCGACCGGAAAAGACTATTTTCTTTTTTTCTTTTTTTTGTCTTTGGTTTTGCCTCTCTTTGCGCCTTTTTTGTTTCGTTTTCCGTCTCTTTTCCATTTCCTCGATGCTCTTCGCCCTCTTTTTCGATTTTCTTTTCTACCTTCTCCTCTTCACTGGCGCGTCCTTGAGCCAACCCTTTCACGCAGAAAATGCAAAAATATCCCCTTGAGTGCGGCTTTGGACTGCATTTTTCTATATCCTTTCGGCACTCTATCGTTTTTTTATTTATTATTTGCATAATTTGATAGCTTTTGAAATTTTGATAATTTGCTCTCTCGAACGTAAATTGTTAAGCTATTAAAAGCGCTATATTTTAGCATCTCCGTTTCACGCTACTATGACGATTAAAAAATTGTGCTGCTGCAGTTTAATTGTGAGTTTTAGTTTCTAAAAATATTATGAAATTTCAAAAATTACTATTATTGTCAAGAAAAAAAATGATAAATTTTCCGAATTTCCTCAATTTCATGTTATGAAACTTCAAACATTATGCGGCAGGCTATTTCGATCCCTTTTTACGTTTGGCCATTTCGCCAGAATTACATGCCGTAATCGATTGAGACGGCTGACTTCCTAACGCCTTTAATAGATCGAAGAATAACAAAAGATATTACAAATGTTAAATTTATCACGCCCTTATACCTAGATTCTTTGCAGTGCTGGTGCTACTTCCTGCTCGGTATCGATGGGTTCTTCGGCCTCGTCAACACCGTGCATTACTTGAAAATCGATTGGTACGTTATGGAGTGTGATTGAAATAACACACTGCGTTTTCCAGGCTCGACCTCCGCAACACCACCGACATTTTCATGCCAACTTACGGTATGTGAAAAGTATCGTATCGTATCGCAATCAGTATCAAACCAGATGGTTACAGTCGCTTCGCGACTGCAACCATCTGGCCTTCGGGCTACCCTACATGTCCCACTCCACCACATCCTTTTCCACCTCCATCAATATCAATACCCCCATGGCTGAAATCCCCTTCAAAAACTACCTAAATACCTTCCTGATGGCTTCAGATACCTCCCCTAGGCGAATCCCCTTAAAAAACGAAAATCACGAGCGACCGGATGAAATGAGAGAAAAAAAGACATGAAATGACTCCCGTGAAAATTTTCATCCACGAAACGCGCGCCACCTGGCTCACTATGTCCAAAATCACCCCAACCTCCGTCCCCCACCCCTTTTACTAAGGAAAACACTTTCAAACTTAATTTTAATAATTTAAACTAAAAGTTTTTCATAATTTTTTTATCAGTTTGGGGGTTTCTGACGGCGCTCTATCCGAATCCGAAGAGAGCTAAGCTCTAGCTCCTTTCCCCTTCGAGTTGAATTCGGCTTCACACAGACAGACGCTATTATAGTTGATGATAAGCCTAACTCTCTGCTCAATCCAAGTTTTTTTAGAATGTCTGGGCTCGCTAAAACCGTTAGTGATGGTCTATGACATCTCGTTACTGTTCATCGTTATCCTGGCCATTGGCGGACTGTTGACACGAAAGTCTTGGCCACTGCTGCCGTATATGGTGGCCGCGGTAAGCGGAATCGGACTGACAAGGGAACCTCGCGGAGACATGGTGGAATTTCGGAAAACGCTCGCGGCTACCCCCGGGTAATCGACCATTGCGATCACGATGCGCTTGTCAGATTTTTCTAAATAGACCTGTGGACAGAGATACAGCACTTCCGGAAAATGCTGATTTACATGCAAAAAATTTGCATAGAAGGATGGTTTATGAGGCTCTCCCATCACTATGGAATCAGCAGTTGAATGGCCGAGTGGTAAGGGACTCGCTTGATAGGATTCTGACCAGGGTTCGAATCCGCTTACGATTTTTTGTTCTTGCTTTTTGGACAGAAATTTTTGTACAAGTCCAAAACCATACGTGCTAAAGTACTTCTAAATTTTATGACAGTGGTCGACGTTACGTGGTCAGAAAATTATTCTTGTAAAATTTTTTCATTTTTTTTGCAGATGGTCAGGTGTAGGAACTCTAGCCGGCAGAACTGCTTTCATTTTTCGATTTTTTCGATTTGGCTAAACATTAGGGATTTCGGGCTATTACTAGTAACATTCTGGATTTGTACAAAAATCACTGGCCAAAAAGCAAAAACATAAAATCGTGAGCGGATTCGAACCCTCGTCAGAATCCTGTCAAGCGAGTCCCTTACCACTCGGCCATTCAACTGGTGATTCCATAGTGATGGGAGAGCCTCATAAACCATCCTTCTATGCAAATTTTTTGCATGTAAATCAGCATTTTCCGGAAGTGCTGTATCTCTGTCCACAGGTCTATTTAGAAAAATCTGACAAGCGCATCGTGATCGCAATGGCCGATTACCCGGGGGTAGCCGCGAGCGTTTTCCGAAATTCCACCATGTCTCCGTGAGGTTCCCTTGTGAGATGTTTGAAATTAGCCTTTTAGGCCGTGCAAATGGTGAGAAATGGAACTTTTATCTATTTGACGCTACGAGGGACGCCGGATTGTGACAGTGGGTGTTATAACAAGTTTCTAAAAGCTTACATCATTCTCTCATCCTCACACTCTCGCACTCTCACTCACTCACTCTCTCTCTATCACTATCTCTCTCTATTTCTCTATTTCACTCTCTTTCTCTCGCTCTGTTTCAGCAGCTCTCTATCGCTATCTCTCCTCGCTATCTCTCTCTCTCGCGAGCTTTCTATCGTCTTCAAAAATCACGATTTTAAATTATTTAGTTCTGATCTTTTTCAGGTTGGCTTCCCCTGCTCTTCGTGGAAACTGTCCTCTCAATCGGAGCCTTTTTCGTCGTCTGGGGCACCCACCACATGATCCGTAATGAGTATCGTCAAGTACCCGAACTCCCGTCCGACTTCCATTAACCTAAGAAACTCCCTATTGTTTTGTAATAATCAGTGATTTTTCGCAATTCTGATGATGCTCATTACGCGGGTGTTTCTGGATAAAGGTTTGCCAAATTTCGTGGCTTTGTTTCTCTCGCTTTAAAAAGACGTTATAGCACAAAAAGCGAGTGGTTAAATGCATCAATGGCCTATGTTCCGTTAGGCATCAAAACAGTTTCCAAAAACTAAACAATTCTTACATTTATGGTCATTTTTCATCAATTTGTGACCAAACAAAGTCTGAACAATTATGCTTTTTGTATCTAGGACCTTTTGAAAATGCTATAAAAATTGTTTTCTATTTTTTATGCGGGATTCCAGGGTAAACTAGTTCCCTTCCGTTACCCCCTCGTCAACAGCCCAGTACCATCGTTTCAGCCCTTTTCCATCAAAATTTCACATAATTTTTTCCTCCACTGTCCAACGACCAAAAGCTACAAGTGTTTTTCATGCACCTCCTCCAAAATTCTGCCTTCTACATCGGGCCCTCCGAGATTCGTACCGCGCCGCAACCCGAAAATTTGCAATTTTTCAGCGGCGCTGTGCAAAATCTAAAATGTGCACCCGGGCCGGATGAGCGGGCATACATTTTTGAGTAACACACACTCGTGCTCCCCGTGCCCCTTTTAGCCCACCACACAGAGAAACTGACTTTTTTTCGGGGGAGGCCAGTTTTTCCAGCAGGCGAGAGGGCAGTCGCTATTTGCACGAAACGGCAGCAGGGCCACCCGTCTTTCAAGGTTGTTGCAATTTGGGTTTGGGCGGATTGTTTGAAAAATTGAGATTGAGGTTGTGTTCGGTTTTAGTGGTTTTATGGCGTAAAATCGTAATTTTTGCATTTTTTAATTGTACCTTGTATTTTTATCGCTTTTACAAATGTTAAGATATCTCTCCCTCACTCTCTCTCCCTCTCGCTCTCTCTGTATGTATGTCTGTCTGTTTCTCTCGATCTTTCTCTCTCTCTCTCGCTCTATCTCTCTCCCTCTCTCTCTCTCTCTCTCTCGCTGTCTCTCTATGTCCTCTGCGTCCGCTCAGTCTCTCTCGCTCACTTTCTCTCGCTTTAACAAAGTTCATTTTTTCAGTTGTTCAGTTTTTTTGCAAATGGTGATACCGATGAAGGCCAATAATGAATTCAACACCAAATGCATTGCCCCAAATTTCCTAAAAAACCCCTGCCAGCCTGTCCACCGCTATCCCAAATGCTCTCTGCTAGCTTGCCGTCTTGCCACCTCGGGCTTTTGCTACGATGTGTGAACTTTTCTAACGCTCTCTGCTCGTTTGCCCAAGATTTTTCTAGAATTTCGTGACCTTGTGCGGAATTGCAAATCCTCGGTTTCGCCATGGTATCGGTTTTTGCAGTAGCTGCTGTGAGCAGCGTGATGCCTTGAGGGGGTTCGTGTGGGCCCCCGGATGCGATAAGTCGCATTTTGTTGTGTGTCTCTAAAGGAGAGAGAAAAAGAGAGAGAGAGAGTGAGAGAGAGAAAACAGAGAAAACCAGATCAACAACGAAAAAGAGAGACCCAAAATGAGGGCCACCCCGAGTCGCGGGGAGCATGTGACGGGCCTCCTGGGCCTCTCTCTCTCTCACTCTTTCTCTCTCTCTCGCCCTATTGGCCACATGCCAAAAATAGGGGAGAGTGGACTGGCAGCTATGGCCGATGGGCCCCGGCCCGTTTTCCCCTATTTTATCCCTTCTGTCCGTTTTTTTGAGTGATCGCCCTGGCTAGTTGAGGGCAAAAAACTAGGAATAAACAGCGTTTTTTCGTTTGTTCTTTTTTAGAAGATTCCGATTCTTTTAATAGAATTACAAGATAAACAGGGAATTTTAAAGTTTCTATGTAAATAGGCTGTCTAGCGGCTTTTTTAAATTGTAAAATTGTAAGATGAAGGTTTCCTCAAGAGTCGCTGCTAGCCTGCCTGGGCCTCTATATGCCTTTTTTAAAGGTTTCCTAACTTTTCTATGCTAGTTGCCAATCGCTAAGGATCTCTGCTAGCTCCCCTCAAACAGAGTTTTTTATAAAAATCTTTGCTAGCCCAATTTGATCCGTATTTGCGATTTCTTAAGTAAGCTCTGCTAGCCTCCCCATGGCCCCTTGTTTTTCCCAAAGAATCTCTGCTAGCTTGCCCTCTATCGAGCGCCTTTAAAAATTTCTCAAAAGCTCTCTGCTATCACCCTACACCCGATCCTTCCCTAACAGCGCTCTTGTTGGCCTCCCTAAATCCTTTCTTTTCTCCTTCCTCTCTCTCTTTGCTAGCCTACCCCATTTCTCGTGGGATTTTCAAATGATCTCTGCTAGCCTCACTAAATCTCCTTTCTTCCTAAAACATCTCTGCTGGTTTGCCCATATTTATGAAATCTATCGTTTTCTAAAATTAACGGTGTTTTTCCTCAAGGATCTGTGCTCGCCTGCCCGAACTATCCATTTTCTCCTCCGTCAAAAATGCTCTCTGGAAGTCTGCCTACTACCCTCTCTTGCTCCCAGCTTTAAAAATCCAACTTTCAGCTCCAACTCCAACACCCCCTCTTAAAAAATGGCGGTCAAACGTATCTGCGGCTGTTCGGTTACGGTAGAAATTTCCAGTCGTACTTTGTAGTGCCTCGTAGTTCTGGTGTTTTTTCATGCTGTGCATCGACATCTTCCTCGGTCTCCTCTTTGCCATGAAGCACTTCGATTTTGATTTGTAGGTTTTTAACTAATTAATAAAAATTAATACAGAATTAATATTAAAAAACATTAAAAAAATTAAATTCTTAAAATGATGTCATTTTTAGGTTCAACCTTCGGCGGCAGGCCAACCGACATGCTGGATTCTGGAGTACCGCCGGTAAGCGCGATTTGAACGGATCTCTGCTAGCTTGCCGGAATTTGCGACTACAAAGGATCTTTGCTAGCTTGCTCCCCAAATAGGCTCTCTCCTCTCCTCTCGCTCTCTCTACGGCTCACTCAGTCCTCAAAAATTTCTGCTTGCTTGCCCGGTTCCCCAGTTCCCTAAAGATCTCTGCTAGCCTGCCTAAACCTTCCGCCTCAAAGGGCCTCTGTTAGCTTGCCCTTGGTTGCCTGCTTCCTCAAGAATCTTTGCTAGCCTACCTGAGTCTTTTTCCCCAAGAGTATCGGCTACGCAAAGCAGGTCCAAAATACCAACGCTGATTTCGCTGATTCTTCAAGAGTTTCTGCTCGCTCCTCTTCAGTCGCTCCTTAGAAATTTCTGCCAGGCTGCTTTTTCCCCAAATCTATCCGCTAGTACTCCCTAAAAATTCCAAATTGTCTCTGCAAGCTGCCCCTACTTTGGAACCCATTTTCCAGGCCGATGCCTCGATCTTGGGCTCGGAAAGTTGGAGATTGGTGTCGAGATGTCGCTGCTGGTCATCGCCGCTGTGGCCATGTTGGGTCTCTGCTGCCGGAAGTCAAAGCTTCTCATCCCATATCTCATCCTCAAGGTATCGATTTTTTAAAGGTACTGATTATCCGAATTTTAGGTGGTGGTCATCTGCGTGTTCCTCTACATGACCATCATGTACGCCATGCACTTCAAGGATTGCGGAGGTATAATTGTTTTTACTTTGTATCACACACTCACTTTCTCTCTCGCTCACTCTCTCTCTCTCTCCCTCGCTCTCTCTCTCTCTCTCTCTCTCTCTCTCTCTCTCGCTCAAAACCATCTTTTCAGGCCTCCTCTTCGCCCAAGCCCTCGCCTTGATCTTTGCCGGCATTTCCTACGGTATCATTGCTGGCACCTACAAGGTAAGCAGGATTTTCTGAAGCCAAAACATTTCGAATTCATCTAATTTACATATATCTTCGATTTTCAGACGATCAAGGGCGAATACTCGACCATCGACAGCTTCATCCCATAAATAAATCAATTGCAAAATTATGTAAATGCCGCTCTTTCTCTCTCTCTCTCTCTCGCTCTCTCTCTCGCTCTCTCGCTTTCCTTTTTGCTCTCACAACGATCGCCAGCCTTGCATTTGTGTAATATGCATTTTAAAGGGAGCGTGACAGCAATATTTCGCAGCGAAGAACCTGCGTAAAATTGATCGCGCTACCACTTTAAAACACCGCGTAAAAACATTTTAAAGCATCCCGTTTATTCGCATTCTGCCGTGGCTTATAATTGTTATAATTTTTTTTCTGCTTCATCAGCTTATGGAAACCCAGCGCTCCTTCTCCATATTCACATAATGCTACACCTCTTCCGGTCGCGGTCAATCTTTGCGCTGCCCGGCCGACTGTCCTCATCTACCTGAAAGAATACATTTGCATTTTCTTTCGAGATTTGGCTCTAAATAAAATTTTTTTATTGCTAATTGATGGAACTGAAAAATAGAAACAATTTAAATATGCTTAAATAAAATTTTAACTCAGAAAAGGAGAATTTTTAAGAAATTACCTGTACACTCTCGCCGCACGAATTACTATCTAGGGCCTTTTCGACGCGACTCCGGTTGTTGGCGCTTTCTTTGATCTGAAAAAAATTGGGTTGCAAGAATTCGAATTTAATAATGCCGATCTCAGAATGCCGAATTTTCGAATGCCGGATTTCATAACAGCAAATTTTCATAAAAGACGATTTTTTTATCGCCAAAAGTCAAATGCCGAATTTTATGGTTTATGTTTATTTTTCTCTACCTCGTTCTCTTTCGCTCTCTCACTTTCTCTCACTCACTCTCTCTCTCTCTCTCTCTCTCTCTCTCTTGCTGTTTCTATCCCTCTCTCCCGCTCTCTCTCACTATCTCTCCCACTCTCTATCCCTCTCTGTCTCTCGCTGTTTCTCTCTCTCGACCTGTGATTGCTCGCTCTCTCTCGTTCTCTCTAGTTTTTACGGCCACTCTCTCTCTCTCTCTCTCTCTCTCTTTTAAAGGCACCGGCAACCCGAAAAATTTACCTGCAACGCCTGCTCCACCAAGTACGCGAAAGCGGCTGTAACGTTGAAGTTCTCCTTCTCGGATACTCTACAATAGCCAACAATTAGCGTCTGATTGCGCTTTCTAACCTGTACAACTTCGTATGCGATCGCCTAACGACGTTGAGCACCTCTTCGCGATTTATCTGGCTATTTGCCGCGTCGTCCGTCTTGCTCTCGATGAGCAGCGCCGGGATGCCGACCTGCTGCTCCAGGGTGTAGCGATGCACCTCGCAGGCGTAGTCAAAACTCTGGAAAGCTGGGTTTTTTAAAGAGACTCGGAAGCCAAAAAATGGATCGGTATACGGTATGCGGTAGCCGGTAGACCTTGAGTATATTTTTTAGGTTTTAAAGGGGCTCGAGGGTCATATGTAACACGCTTAAAAATAATGTTTTTGCGTTTGAAGGGTTGCGTAAACTCAAGCTTAAAATTTTTAGCGGTGCTAAAACGATTGTAAAACTGTCTATGGATGAAAATACTTCTTTTCAAGTTTTAAAAGTTTTATCTAGAGAGGATAACTTCAAAATCCGATTATCCTAGTTTTTAAAGGCGCCGGCAAGTCCAAAGCCGGCTTGAAAACCCTTATAACAAGAGCTTACCCTCAAATCAGTGGTGCTGAATATGATGGCAACCGCGTCGAAAAATGTGCGCTCGTTCTCGAGATCCATATCCTGAAAATGAGAAGTACTCCACCATATGCTAGAAAATGTCCAAATTTCAATTTTGCAACCTATCAGGACTTCAAATCCCAGGTGATAGACATGCAATAAGAAAGAAATCGAAATCATTCGTACCTCTTTCCATTCGACAACCTCTATCCGTATCATCTCGCCATCGAGGCTGAGATTTGTATGCCCATCGAAAACTGGTGTGCCATCAAATGCTCTCTGAAATTAAAGGTTTAACGGGGTGTCCATAGGGGCGATGAGTAGTCAGATTAAGTCAGTGTAGTCAGTAATCATTTTGCTAACGGCGCATTTTTCCTGTCACAATCCCTTTAAAAGCTCGAGGTTTGCTACGAGTGTTTTTCAATGCTACTGATCTTTTCATGACCGAACCTCTGAAAATTCACTAACTTTTGTAATAAATCGATAAATCAGCGCCGATTTGCCAACTCCTTCCGCTCCGATGATCAAAATTCGGACAGTCTTCTGTTTTTGGGTCATGTTGCGGCCTGAAAAGAGTCAATATGAATGTGACCTAACGGATATGATCGAGGAAAACGGCTCAAAACAGGATAGCGAGAGAGCGACGGGGAGAGCTAGTGAGAGCGAGCGAACGCGAGAGAGAGCGAGAGAGAGACGGAGTGAGCTAGAGAGAGAGTGAGAGAGATATTGAGAGATAGTGAGTCCAGTCAAGACGCATCGCGCCCGCTACGCGTCTATATTCTTTAAAACCTTTAAAACCCATAGTCTAGCAAAAATCAATAAGCCCCTCAAAATTCAAAACAACAAAGGTACACCAAATAATTCCCAACCCTGAAGAAGCCAAAAAAATGTGGGAATAGAATTTTCCGAGATGGAATGGAACGATTTGTCTTTTTTTCCCTCTCTCTCTCTCTCTCTCTCTCACTCTTTCTCTCGCCGCTCTAGTCTCCAGGGGATTCGGGAAATATGGGGCACCGGATTAGCAAAAAGTAGCCCGGGGGCCCCGGAATTGTCTTTTTGAGGGTAGGTAAGGGGGATTATCGTATGTGCCAGAGGGAATTGTCTCGTTACGGTGAGTAAGTTATGTTTTCCGGTAGCGGCTTATCGCGGATGGGGAAAGGTTACTACCGTATTTTTGGGGGCGCAGCGGATTTTGGTGTTAATTGGAAAAAGAAATAAAAAGATCTTGTTGGTAGTCCGTGATCTATTACAAATTAAATAATCCACATGGACCAAAAGAAATTAATTAAATTAAATCTATTCTTACATAATTAAATCAATTATATTTTTTCTCAAAGTTTTTCCGAAATTTTTGATTTCATTAGCTAATTCTAATCACGAATTAGGCGTCGAGTTTCAATTTAGCTATTTTCGATATTTCGATATTTTCAAGAGATTGTCAATAGTAATAAAATATAAACAAAACAATTAAAAATATAACAATAATGATTTAATGATTAAGGATTTACGGCAAAATTATAACAATAGAAACAGTAAATCACTGAGATCTCATCCAATCCTAGGCAAGACGGAACAAGGCAAAAACGGGTTCCATCCCTAGATAACCAATGGATAGAGAGAGAGAGAGAGCGAGGGAGAGAGAGAGAGTGAGAGAGATAGAGATAGAGAGAGAGATAGAGAGAGAGAGACCGGGAGAAGCTTTGCTGGAGGCGGTGTGGAAAGCGGAAAACAAGTAGCCCGATAATAAGGGCAAGTTCCTAATCAAGCGTAATAAGCTTCAAATTTGAAAAATCGATTAATCGGATGGTCTATGGATCTATGGACCTTTTCCGATCTCAAGAATTTTCCATGCCCGCAACGCACTACGCAAACGCTACGCAAACGCTATGAAAACGCTACGCTAAAGCTGCGCAACCGCATTTTGACGCGGAACGGACGGGTGCTCGAATTAACGGCGAAAACCGAGCATGATGTGTGTCGCCGTGCCGAAAAACGCTTCCGAAATCCATTACCAAACTATGAGCATGCCCTGCTAGTCCCTTTAAAACGACTCGGACTTTTCAAGAAGCCCTAGATGTTTCCCCCCATGAGTCAAACCCCAAAAGATCGCCCCAGCCGTTCCGTGGATCGCCTCGGAAATTGGGGGAAGTCCTCCAACAACTTTTTTTGACGAACCCACACACGCGCTTTTTGCTCTGTTTCTTCCGGGGGACGGATATCGTTCATCCCCCCCCCGCATTCAGGCATTTGGCAAGTCAACCGGGCAGCCAACCCACAGCCAGCAGTAATACTGTCCAAATCGAATTAGGGACTCTCGATTCCTCCCCCGCTCACCCGATCGTTGGCGAAGCGGAAATTTCGACGATTTTTGAACGAATTCGAGTGGAACAATGGGTGTGAAAAGATAAAAATTTCTTAAGTTTTGTGAAAAAGTTTAAAGCGCATTTTTAGCAAAAAATTGTAGGCTATGTAAGTCAAATCTAAGCTCAGCTTAAGGGAAAAGCAGAAGCCAAGCCTAAGCCAAGCCCAGGAAGCCCAAGCTAAGCTTGAGCCAAGCCTAAGCCAAGCCTAAACAAGCCTAAGCCAGGCATAAGCCAAGCCTGAGCTAAGCCTAAGCCAAGCCTTAGCCAAGCCTAGGCCGAGCCTTAGCCAAGCCGAGGCCAAGCCTAAGCCAGGCATAAGCCAAGCCTAAGCTAAGCCTAAGCTAAGCCAAGCCCTAGGCTAAGCTCACTCTAAGACCCAGCTTCTTAAGCTGAAGATTAGTTTAAAGGGATGGTGGCAGCAAGTTTTAGCAAAAATTTCTGATTGATCCGACGCAACCTATCATGAATGCGAATTTGCTATACCGTAGACCCGGATGCCATTCTTCAAAAAAACCCAAAACTCAGACTAACGGCTGCCCCGAAAAAAATTCCAAGTAAAGATCCAGGTGAAAAATAAGGCAAAGAATATAATGAAAATGTTGGCGCGTCGCCGGGCCCCCAGAGATCTGAATAGGAGACTAATTTTGTTTGCGCCTCACCCGGGGGGGGAGGAGTGTGGATAGGGTTGTGACGGAATCGAGGGATGGCAGGTGGCTTTTCATGGCTGATATTTTTGGTTGGGTCTTGCGGGTAAAAAATCGGATAAAAATGGTCAAAACAAGGTTGTGCCATTTCGAAAAAAATTAATAGAGAGCGGGAGAGAGCGAGAGAGAGAGAGGGAGAGCGAGAGAGAGCGAGAGAGTGGGAGATGGATAGAGTGAGAGAGAGCGAGAAAGAGCGAGAGAGACAGAGAGATATAGAGTGCGAGAGAGATGAAGCGAGAGATAGAGAGACAGAGAGAAAGATAAGCGAAAGCGCGAGAGAGACAGAGAGAGACAGAGAGAAAGAGCTAGAGAGAGACAGCCATGTCACGTTCCCTTTAAAATCCAGGCCCCGCATTTCGGACTACGGTAGGTTATTACGAATCAGCGCCTTAAAGGGAGCGTGACAGCAAGGTCAAGAATTCCAGCATGGGCCCCAGAAAACGCTTGCTGTCATCGCCCTCTTCCAAAGTTTCAATGACCACAAATCGATGTGCTGTTCTTTGGAATGGCCAAATGCCTGGTGTGCCCACCCGAAAGGTCCAAATTTTTGGGCCTCACCGCGGGAAAGGTGGGCCAAATCCACTTTTGAGGGGGCCGTCGTCCCTTTTCTGGTGGGTGGGGAGGGGGACCCCCGAAGCGCCCACGCCCCATCCAATTTTGCGGCACATCCTTTTTTTGCTTTGCAGTGGGGGGAGAAACACTTTTGCGAACAACGAACGGCCAGTGGGATCTCTTCAAAAGGAAATATTAAAAATGAAACAAAGCATCTTGTCACTTTTGAGGGGGGGGGGGCAATCGCTGTCCGGGCGGGGATACGGTAGGTTGGATTTTTCGCAGTATCCGGGAAACCGAATTTTTCTTAGAAGTCCAGACATGCTTAATAGCGTACGATCACGTGTTTTAACGGTGTTTTTAATGAATTTGACTATTTAAATTTAATTGTAAAAGCCATATAAAAACTGAGAAAAAATGAATTTTCTCGTTTTGGCGGGAATTGGCTTTTTTGGTTGAAAAATCGAACTTTATGAACAATTACGCTTGGCTAAAAATTACGGTAAGTGTTTAAGCTTAGAAATAGCAATAAAACAGTCAAGAAACTGACAATATTCGAAGAACTCAAAATCAGAGCAAAAAAGATGGCTTTCTGAAATGGATTGTCAAAAATTCATACAAATATCTAACTCTAACAAATTTTTAAAAATCGGTATTTTGCAAAAAAAATATTATTAAAGCAAGAATGCCCGAGGGCAATTCCGGAAAAGTGCACCCCACAATTATTCACCATGAGAGGGTAATTATCTAACCTATCCGGAAGGCCGTAATTTGTACCACAGCGTAGGCCGTGTACCGGCTAAATGGCCACCTTTTCCGGGTATTCATTAGCAGCTAAAATTACTAGTTTAACTCAACAAAATTGTCGGCGATTTTCGAAACTATAATAGCGTCGAGAAATGCTAAAAATGATTACAAAATCTGTCGTAAATTTCTAAAAATTGGCGGGACCTTTAGAAACTAATTAGACATCGTAATAAGGCGTGAAAAATTTATTTTGGCCAATTGAAGGCCAGAAGCTGAGCGGACAGTTTGCCCTTCCATCGCCAGCCGGCCACCAACCCCCAAAAAAAACAAATAAGCCGCTTTTGACAAATTGATAGCGCCCCACGAGACGCCCTGCCTTTCCGTTTTTGATCTTTATTAGCCGGCTCAACCTGCTTAAAATAAATAATAGCATGATAATTTTGGTACTGGACCGTTAGCGGGGGGGGGGGGTTAGCGCGACATTTAACCCGGTTTTTGGATATAGAAAACGCACAGAACCTTCGATTCTCGGAAAATTGCATGTATGATATGACAATTGATCCAAATATTTATTATTGCAAGTTTTTTATATTTTTCTAGCGTTCAAATACTAATAAAACTCTATAAAAATACATCATATATTATTATGAAGGACAGACGAAAAGATAAAATTTTATGTGCTTTCGCTAAACTCCCCCCCGCTGGTAGTCCAGTACCATAAATTTCATTTTTATGAAAGCTGTGAGGGTGGTGTGAGAGAGACAGAGAGAGCGAGAGAGAGAGACAGTGAGAGAGAGAGCGACAGCGAGAGAGAGAGAGAGACAGTGGGAGAGTGAGAGAGAGAGAGTAAGCGCTAAGCTGCTTTTAGTATCGAAATCCTCCAACGAACGATTCTATGGAAATTCCCGCTTTCCCACGAATCGACCAAAAAAGTACAGCCCTTCTCGCAATTATTTGAGCATCTTTTCCAAGCTGCCAAAGTGCAAATCGGGCCCTTGAAAACAGCATAAAGCGAGGAAAACAGAAATTTCGATCAGTCGAAAACTTTTTGAGGGGAGAAGCGGGTTGTGTTGTGTTATGAGTGGGTGCTGTGGCCGGCTGCTGGCCTGGGTGTTTGCAGGCCACGAGGCCAGCCCGCCATTTTGGGGCGTGTTTTTGAAAAACGGTGGAATACCTCTATGTCTCTCCTTGACTCTCTATTTCTCTCTCTCTCTCTCTCTCTCTCTCTCTCTCTCTCTCTATCTCTCTCTATCTCTCTCGATCAGTACAAAAAAATAGAGACCAAACCATCGAAATGCAAAATTGTAACGAGCGTGCCGGCGTCGATTTTTCTTGGCTGTCACGCTCACTTTAAAAGGCCGGAACGCGACGCGTCGGCTTTATTCAAATTGAACCGACTCTTAAGAATTCTGCATTGGAGGTTCTTGTGCATTATCGGGGGTGGTTCATCAGCGAGAAAAACACCCCGTTTACGGTATCGATTTTTCTTAATAAAAATAAACGAAACGAAGCTATTTTAAACTGTTTTTTTTGTATTCTCTAACGCAAAAGCGTTACAAATACTTCTACAAATAATCCAAAAAATATAGATTTTTCGATTAAAAATTGCGATTTTTGAAGAAAATTCAAACATTCTGTTTTTATGAAAAAGACCAAATATTCCAATTATTTTAGAGATTTCTAGAACAAACCAAAATTTATATAATTCTGCAAATAAGGTTTTCGCCTGATACCCCTTCCCCCCCTATAATGCACAAGAACCAAAATATCCGGAAGCTCCAAATACCTAAAAAATCGCGCTTTTCAGAGGAATTCGAACACAAAAATTGCTGTAATTGAACCTAATGGACATCGTAAAACGCAAAAATGACAAATAACTGGCGTGAGAATTCCCCCCCCCCCCGCACGATGCCGATTGCTGACGTCCCTCCCCCGACCAAATCCCAGATTGAAGATTTGTCCCGAAAAATCCGCCTAATCCCCCCACCCACAGCCCCTAACAAGAATCATTGCGTAAGCGATTAAGCCGACGCTGACAGGCGATGTGAAGTGGGTATTCTTAGATCCATCGTCTCACCATATTCTTAGTTCTAAAAAAATCCCGGCAACTTGATGGATGTGCCCTGGAGGCAGGGAAAAAGTGACCGCCCGGGGCTGCTCAGTTCAAAATGTTCCCCGGGGAGCCTAAAAACGGACCAAAAACGTCGACTACGCGTCAATCCATCAACCCTGATTTTCAGGGAAGCGCAAAATTTGACGTGGGTGCAAGTCCGAGACAAAAATGAGATTTTTGGAAGTTCTGGAGCATGAGTTTCTTGACTTGAGTTTGAAAGGGATTATTAAAGAGTAACAAAAAGGAAAAATTGCGTTTGTCCGTATTTTTGCAACTGATACTGCAAATACGTTAATAAAATAATAAAATAATTTCAAAATAAGCAAAACAAAAAATCATTCTTTGGGTTACGGTAGCTGGAATACTGTATACTTTTCCGGCAACGATAAAAATTGCTAATATCGGTACTTGCCTATTATCGGGGTTGGGGGCTAAATTTATGCATGTAAAAATTCTAAAAAATGTCTATTCAGGTATTAAAGAACATTTTAATAGTTTTTTAGTCAACTTCACCGATATCTCAAGGAGAAAACATCTCAAAAACCTGCAAAAAAATTAGAATTTCGAAAACTTCGATCCAAGGATTTTTTGAAGATGAGAAAATTTTACGTTTAGGACTAATAATAACAATTGCAAAGATATGTTTTATTTGTTACAAAACTAGGATGTTAAGGGAAAAATTGGTCGGAAAAGAAAACACCAAAACTTTTTATAGTTTTGATCGCTGGTAGATTTTGTAATATTACTGAATTCGTCTGAAGGTTCCGGGATTAAAACATAATTTAAATTACACAAAATACAACCCTACAAAAATGACATTTATGAATCGAACCTGTAAAAGTCAAGAAATCCGGCCCTCTATCTTATGTCCCGCCCCCCACCCTCAACGGATTATCCCTCGCCTCAGACCGGTCAAAGCAAAAGTGCCCCCAGAAACTCTCCGGATTATGGCCCAGACAAAAGGTTATTTCGCCTCTAATTGGACTCAAATTGAACCCTAGAAAATTGCCGATTTGCGGCTGGCCAGTAGACAACGAAAAAAAATTGAGATTTTCTGAAAGTTTGGGGTCAAAGTTCGGAATCTGGTTGCGATTTGGCGGCGTGTTAATACGACCCAGATGCCAGGGCAATAGAAAAAGAAACAAAAAACGGAAATTGCATGTTCAAAGCATTGAAACAGTAAGCCAAATTTTTAGGACAAGTTGCCGGAATGCATGCGAGCATGCAGGATCTGTTATCGCGTATTTTGTCGTATTCTATGGTATATCTACGTTTCGTAGTGTAGCGTAACTTTCAGGAAAAAGGAGGTATCGTACCCTACCCTACGCACTGTACCGTTTGTGGCGCATCGCGACGTACGCACGATACCTGGACTATCACGTATACCGTGTCGTAGCTTAGCGTAGCATACCGTAGCGTACCGTGGCGTAACGTAGCATACCGTAGAGTAACGTGGAACACCGTAGCGTAACGTAGCGTACCGTAGCGTAACGTAGCGTACCGTAGCGTTACGTAGCGTACCGTAGCGTAACGTAGCATACCGTAGCGTAACGTAGCGTAGCGTACCGTAACATACTGTAGCATACCGTAGCGTCCCGTAGCGTACCGTAGCATAACGTACTGTACGGTGAGGTGAAAGAATAATTCCAGAGCGTAACCGCCAAGTAATTCCGGAACGTTATTTTTTCAGCAGAGAGTTAAATTGAATCCAAAAACTTTTAAAATCATGAAATCCAACGGAGCACGTAAGTAATCCCCAGCCATCCCCCACTTTACCCTTGCACCCACTTCAGCCATAAGCTCCCCAAAAAATCATCCTTTTCTAAAGGTGTAGCCTGAAGTGGGGGTGGATAAGTGTTTTTGCGTTTTTTTTTTTTGTTTTTGGCATTAGGCCGGTAGCAGAAGAAGAGATCGAGCGAGAGAAAAAGGAGTAGAACGATCACTATAATGGCCTCCTATGAGGGGCCCTTGGATGGCATGTCCATAGGTGTTCGGTGGAGCGGAGCGGTTTCCATGGATCGGGAATTAAAGGGAGCGTCAAAAGACGCAATAAATTTGGTAGTTTTAGTTTACGTATTCCTGCGATAGTATCTTTAGTTTTAAAGGTGTTTGACAGGCACAATTTTGAGCATAAATTTACCCTGCATTAATAGATGCTAGGCTTTAGTGACTGAAACCGCGGTTCCCATACCGTAATTTGGTGCCACGTGGAATCGAAGAGTGTTAGAACTCGGAATTCCTAGCACCCCATGAAAAGCGGCCACAGAAAACGGCTCGTAAATCCTACCTGGAATGGCCCTCCCCCCCTTGTGGGCTGCACTCCAGTTTTCTTTTTCTTTCTTTTCCACTTTTTCTGCCCCGTTTTTGGGTCCCGCTTAGGGCCCAAAGCTTAGGGCCAATACTGCCCCATCCCTCCCGACGTCAGGTGCAAAATGATGCTAATTAGGGGTAGACACGCAATAAAACTATCCAAATGGTGACGCGACGTTTTCGAGACGTTCAGCTCGGGCTCGGAGATCAAAATTGGGAGTTGAAAACGTCAGAAAAGCTTGGAAAACCCGAAATTCCTGCGCCTGAAATACACGCGTCCCATTATGCAAAGAGCAAAAAAGCGGCCCTAAAAAGGAAAAATCTCCGGTTCCAAGAATCCCCCAGGGGCCCCTTCCAAGGTTTCTACACCGGACGTGGAAGCAAATTTTTCACGACGAAGGGCCCTTAAAAGGAAAGGGGAGGAGGAGAAGGGCCCAAAAAGTAGAACAAAGAAACGAGGAAAAGGAGGAAAATCGAATGGAACGTTTGCCGGGATTTAAAGTGTAACTTGAGCAGTTTAATACGTTAAAACTTTAATAGCTTTTTTTCGCTGACTTTCTCTCTCCCTCCCTCTCTCTCTCACTCTCTTTCTCTCTCGCTCAATCTCGCTCGCTCTCTCTCTCTCTCTCTCTCTCTCTCTCTCTCTTCCTCTGCCATTCACTCTCTCGCTCTCTCTATCTCTCTCTCGCTCTCGCTCTCTCGCTCTCTCTCTCTAACTCCTCTCTCTCTCGCACTCTCTTCACCTCGAACTTGTTCGGCCAGCTCCGAGTCGAGCAGGAAGTCGTCAAGCTTGTAGAATCTGCAAGATTCCGGATTTTCCGCTGGATTCTTACTGCTTAAAGGGCCATGCAAGATAGAATTCTAGACTTTCTGGCTATGGATTACGTCGGAATTTCCGCGAGGCGAAACGCGTACTTTTCATGGCATAACTGGTTAGGATGCCGTCGCTACGGCCGCGCGTTGCGTGCTGCGGGCGCAAAAAAAAAATCGATATTTCTGGAAAACCTGGAACCTGGAAACCTGGAAAAGCTAGTCTCCCCCCGCTAACAAACCAGTTCCCAAAAATTCCGCCAACCTCCTAAAGACAAACGGCATCGCTCTGGCGCCATTAGTAGCATTTCGGCGTCTCAGGATCTGTAGTATAGGCATGAATTCGGGATTGTCGGGCACGGCCCCGAATTGTATCTCGGCATCGGGGAGTAGATTCTGGAGCATCGGAAATTATCCGCCCAATACCGGCGGGTATATTTGGCCAAAATGGGATAGATCTTTCGCTTCCCCTTGGGGGTCCACAGCGCCCACCAATAACACATGCATTTCCGAATTCCGAGCGGAAATTGGGCCGCGGAAAGGGAGGGAAGGGCAGCGAACGATCGGAAAAATCGGAAAAAATGGAATTTTTTTCGAAACTATTGCAAGTGTTTTTTTTCGAAACTTCGAATCTAGTGTTTCATTTTTAAAAAAAAAGGAAAAGTCCAAACTTCAGAGGACTTCTTTTTTCTTAGGCAACAATTTTCAAATACAAACAGCGGAAGTGTTTCTAAACGGTTTTTACTATTTCTAAAAGTACAAACTTTACAAATTTTCATGAAAAATACAAAAAACATCGATTTTCGACTAAAAATGCCGGTTTTTTCAAAAAACGGGTTTTTTCGTACCAAAACTTCAACCTTTTCAAAATTTCTCATAGTTTTTAGAGAGATTTTCTAGTTAAAACCAGGGTTGAAAAGCCGCTTCGCGACTTTTCAACCCTGACCCCGTCTAGGCTCCATGATGGCCCTACTTTGCATAATCACACCCGCCTGCACGAACAAAAAAAATGAAAATCACCCGCCCTCCCGCCTTTATATAGGCTCTCTTCACTTCCGGCGTATGCTATTGATTCCTAACAAAGAGGCTGAGCGAGATTTTGACAAAAACCTATTTTTAATGTCGAAAACAGCTGATTTTGCAAAATCTGATAGGTGTTCAGTCGTGTCATGACCATTACGCACCTAATGACGTATCATACTTGCCCATAACTTCTTCCTTTATTGAGATACGACCGGAACATACGGACGGAAGTTGCATGCAAATGCACACACACACACACACACACAAACACGATTTTTTTATATATAGTAGGATATAGTTATATTGGATTCAAAACATTATTAAAACATCCTATTAAGTTACCAGGCACGGTTACTAAACCCCTCCCCCCCCCGATAATGCAAAAGAACCCGATAGGGCAAGCGTGGGAAGCTACGTATGATACCTCATTAGACGCGTTATGCACCGCTCTGTAGTTCGTCTTCAAATATCATGCAATAAATGCTTCAATGTCAATACCACAGTATGCCCAATACAGAGGATTTATGCGGATACAAAAAAAAAATACAAAAAGAAATGCAGACACAACTGGGGGGCGAAGAGATGAGGAGAGGCCCCTTCTCGGGTCGAAAATCTGGGGGCGATGTGGGCTTGGCATGGGGGGTAGAGATGATGAGCACGAGGTGATGGTGGTGCTCGTCGATGAGATAGGGTAGGAACGATAGATGGTAGACGATCAGCGGCGGCACTGGGAGCGGCTGGACGAGCGAGTGCGGCTCGAGCGGCGGCGAGAGGAGCGGGACTGAAATGAGAGTGTACGGAAGAAAGAGAGAGAGAGCGAGCGAGAGAGAGTGAGCGAGAGAGAGCGAGAGCGCGATCCCTACCGGCGTGGCGCTGGCCCTCGACGACGTCTGGGCCCGCTCAACGTCACGCTGGTGCAGCTCATCGCGGAGCGCCTCCACGTACCTAAGCGAAGCATTTCGTATAGGTCGTGCTCAAAATCCCTTACTTCTCCTGACGGCGCGCCACGGCGGCGTCGGCGTCACGGAGGTCCTGCTGCTGCTGGGCGGCGTGGCCGAGGCTGGAAGTTGACAGCGTCACCAACAAGTACACAACTCACTAGATTCCACAAATGAAGCAGAAGCAGACAAAGATGGAGACGGCGTAGACGAACAGGAAGGCGATCAAGACTAAAACAGGGGGCGTTGCAGGTCGGGATCTCAGCAGAAACGCAAGGATACTACAAGCGCGTACCGGCAAGGATGACGAAGCTGCTGCGGGAGAGGGCACGCTCGTCGTAGTTCTGCGGCTCGGCATCGTCGGAGAGGAGGAAGACCGAGGAGGAGGAGGAAGAGGCAGGCTAGAATTTGACGAATTGTTAAGCCCAAGCTAGCTTAAGCTAAGCCTAAGCTAGGCCTAAGCCAAGCCTAATATAAGCCTGCTCACCAGAAAACGTGGCAGATCAGAGGAATGGACTTGAGACTTGTCGTTGGCCAGCCCCAAGCAGCGCGTCAGGTTGACGTCGAAAGCGCGGAGCAGCGGGTGGTCGATTCCGTCGAGTACCTGGAGAGGATTACGGTAGGAAAGGAACCGACAAGAGGTTACCTTCTCCCACATGGCCTGCCAGGCGCCAGCAGTACCCGGGCATTTCTTGCCGAGTTCGTCGCGCAAGCAGGCGATGTATCGGGTCGAGGACCTAGGGTACGGTAGAGTACGCCAGACAACTATGGACACGTACATGCAGCTGCTGCTGGTGTCGGTCCAGCAGGTGTCGCGTAGCTGCTGTGCTCGGTGCGGGTCTTCGGCCAGGCAGGCCGTGATCTTCGCAACTAAAAAAACCAACTTCAACCACTTTAAAGGGAATGAAAAGTCCTTAAATCGACGCTTTCGTGATGCTAGGGCTCGAAAGTACGATACCATCCGGGTTGATCGCGTTCCCGTTGCACATGGCCTTGTCGGATATCTCCAAGTAGTCCTGGGCACACGCGCCGCACGTCAGCAGCGTCTTCTCTTCGGCGGCCGAGCGGCTGAAAGACCATTTATAAACTGAAGCTGTAGATGAACTCCCGGCCGGTGGCGACAGCCACTTAAACCACAAAATCCAGCTAAAGCGCACTTGCACATCGACGTCGCGCCGATCACCCTCAAGTCGATGGGCCCGCTGTGGATGATCTCGTCGTGGTGCAGCACACCGGCCTGGGCCTGACCCTTCAGCGTCTTGTGGGCCAAGCAGTCGAGTGGTGGGATCTGAGATTGGAAGAGTTCAGAACTTGATTTCAGATTCAGAACTTGCTGACCTTGCCGAGGACGGGGCAGTCAAAGTCGCAGACGGTGGATGGATCGACGCGGGCAGGAGGAGATGGGCGCGGGTGGAACAACGAGGCCGGAAAGTTCAGCTGACCACCGCAGATGTTCCACACTTTGTGGGCGGGGCGCTCGAGATCAGTCTGAAAAGGAAAGGGCATAGCAGTTTAGGCTCGGCTTAGGCTTAGGCTTGGCTTAGGCTTAGGCTTAGGCTTATCTTAGGCTCAGTCTTGGCTTAGGCTTAGCTTAAGCTTAAGCTTAGGCTTAGGCTTGGCTTAGACTTAAGCTAAAGCTCACCCCATCAAGGAACAACCGCACGTACTCGTCGCCGGCGCCCGGCATGCAGGCGTCGAACACGAGCCGCTTGCACTCGATTGACTTGATGTAGTCACTAAAAAAAGTGTTTTCGGAAGAGCCAGCTCTTCTCTACCTGCAGTCCCAGGGTGATCGGTAGTCTTGTGGCTTTTGGAATGGATGTGATGGATACATCCAATCACAGCTGCGGGCCCGCTGCAGCACCACCGGATTCAGGAGACAACGGTGGGCGATTTGCTCTGAATTCAGGCTTTGAAGCGATCTGAGAACCCATACGTTGCATCTGGTTCCCCGCGGTCAACCGGCAGAATCCGTAGTCGACCTGCTGCAGCACCGACGCCGAGCACGGGCAGTTCACCTCGACGTGCTCCTTCGCGCTGAATTCATACCGGTAAATTGTAGCTGAACATCTCGACTGACTCGCAAATCCATTGGAAGCGCAGCTCGGGGCGGGTCTCATACGACTTGAGGAGGGTCTAGAAGATGAACATGAATGAGTCGGGAAAGATGGGCATACGGCGGCCGGGATCTTGGTAGAATGGTGCATCATGGCGTTGATGGTTTGCTCCTTTATGCATCGGCCGACCTAAGGAAGAGGAGTTAGCATACATTGCCGCGTAGCGTTTCGTATATTTGCGTAGCTTTGCGAATCGTGGTTAGACGTAGCGTTACGTAGCGCTACGGCGCGAAACGTAGCGCCACGTGGCGTTGCGTAGAGCTAAGTGGCGTTGCGTAGCGTTACGTAGCGTTACGTAGCATTAGGTAGCGCAACATAGCGTTACGTATCGTTACGTATCGTTACGTAGCGTTAAGTAGCGTTACGTAGCGTTACGTAGCGCAACGTAGCGTTGCGTAGCGCGGCGTAGTGTTGCGTTACGTAGCGCTACGTAGCGCAGCGTATCGTTGCGAAACGGGGAAAAAGTACCTACCGTAAATAGTCCATCACTGGCCGTGTTGACGCGCGCGCATCGGCTGATCTCGCTGCCGCTGCCGACTAGAAAAAATCAGGTATGCTAATTTAACGACGCGTCCTACATGGCAAGTAGGGTCCGGTGAAGTTGTGGCGGCAGACGCCCTCCTCGCGCAGCTCCTTCAACACCTCGGCCGAGCACGGGCACGCCTTGACGACGTCCGGGTAGCGGCAGACCATGCGCTGGCGCAGTGCCCTCGACGCGGAGAGGAGTCGGGCGGCATCCTGAAGAAGTTCAGTCCCGTCAATTCAAAAAAGATACCTGGGTAGTGTTGAGTTTCTTTTGCTCAAAGATGTGCCGCGCCAGCTGGCTGATGAGGCACTTGGTGATCTGGAAAAGGGACATTGGCTTGAGGCGAGAAAGAGGGAGAGAGAGAGAGAGCGAGACAGGGAGAGAGAGTGCGAGAGAGAGAGAGCATGTCGTACCTCGGCCTCTCGCTCGGGCGTGAACCAGCCCGCCTCGCATTTCCCCGGCTCGGCCGACATTGCATGAGCAACTAATTTGAATTTGGAAGAAAATCAGAATTTGCATACCGAGCCCAGCAAAGCACAGCACCAGATGGAAGACGTTCATCTCGAAAGAATGATTGGTTTTCTAGCGATGCGGGGACCTCGCCAATTATGCTAATTTCTCCGATGCTAATGACGATTTTCACTTCCGGTTCCGGTCCATATCCTACCTTATATAATTTTGGCGTGTATCTCTGTGTGTGGGTGTGTGTGGATGTCACTTTCGAGGCCCGATTTGAGGGCCTTGCCGTGTCCAAAATGCCCAAATTCTCGGTCACTCGGGGGAATTGACCCTTCTCTTTCCGATGGCGTTTTCAGAATCCCGATAAAATACAAGTTTACAAAGTTAAAGCCGGTTTTACTCATTTTGGGGGTCCGGGAGGGTTAATTTGCATAATGTGAAAAAATACAAATCTGCTCATTCTTGCAAGTTGCGCGCGAGGGTGTGGTCGGACGGAGCGAGGGGGGTCCGAGGGACCCGAGCGATCGGGAAGCCAAATTTCTCATGCAAAGGCCGCATTCCAGCGCCCAAGGCCCGCGAAGCGGGTTTTGGGCGCTGGTCACAGTCCAATAAAAAACACCACCCTCTAACTGAATCGGATCGGAATGAAAGTTACACCATTCGAAAGCCCTTGAAACGGCGAATTTGCTCCAATGTTCAAAACCATGTTTTTATTTAAATCCCCTATTTTACAAAGCAATTAAAACATTAAGGAACGGCCTCTGCCTCGAACTCGAATTTCCTTGCGTAATCGGTTACGCGTTTCCGTGTCCTTAGTGTCACTGTCCCTTTAAAACCAAATTACATCGAGTCTGGTTTGGAAAGTCAGGGCGTAATCGCTTAAGGGCTTCCAAATTTGACCGTCCCTGTCGCTTTGAAAACCGAATTACCTCGCGTAATCGGTTCGAAACCCGGGTTTCACTGCCTAATCGATGGAGCTTTTTACGTTTTTACTGTCCCTGTCCCTTTAACGATACGAAATTTAGTTGCGAATAAAAAGCCTTACACTCTGCATCTATTCTGATTCTCTGCCTAAGAATTGACCCCTCTCATCCCCTTTAAAAGCTCTTAATTCAAGCTTTGTATTTTCAGTGTGCCAATCAACCACGAAAATCCCAGTATAAACCTTTATTCTTTTACATAAAAAATAGAATATCAAGAAAATACGAAAGAACCATGTGTTTTAATTGTTTTCTTAATTCCAAAAAATCCAGCAGCAGCAACGACGTCAATCGGTGTATTTTGGAGTCGAAAGAAAAGATCAGCAGAGACAGAGAGAGGCAAAGATGAGTGGGAAAAGTATCGGAAACATTTTTCGGAATTTTTAGAATTACTTAAACGTTAAAATAATTTTTAAAGGGATTGGCAAGGGAGCCAAAAATCGATAACTTTCCCTTGACTGCCCCTTTAAAATGTGCCCCGGCTAAAAATCCCTAATCGTCGTCTAATACAAAAATAAAATAAAAACAAAAATAACATTCCATGAAAAAGGACAATTTAAATGGCCGAAAAAATCGAATAAAAATATATATAGAAAATCACAGCTTGCTCTCCCGGCATAAAAAAAACGCAAAAAAAGACATTTTTAGAAATTCCAAAAAATCAAAATATAGCAAAAACATTACAGATACTGTATAAAATATAGAAAACCAAGAAGTAAATTTTCAATAATTGAAAACAATTTCAAATTCAATAAATATACCAGCATTGGATCAAGCAGACCTTGGTCGGGCCGTCGGGCGAGTCGGCATAGCTTTCGGTAGGGCGAAAAAGTTTTTAAAGGGACAGTGCCACCAAAAAAATAGGCAAAAATCAAAAGGCAAAAATTCAACCGCTCCGGGGATCGAACCCTCGACCCTTGGCTTGGGAAAATAATTCACAAAATTAACACTACGCGACGATCCCTTTAAAAACAAAGTGAAAATTCCCAGCACTCAGCTACGCACTCGCTCGACGCTCACGGGGGGTTTTAAAAATCACAGAAATTGGGTACGGTGGCCAGGTACTGTAGCGTAGTACAGCGTACTGTAGAGGATCTACATCACCATGCCGTCATCGATAATTTGAGCGTTGCCGGGGGCCACCATGGCTTCGAGCTGTTTGAGACGGGCCATCAGGCCGCGGTTGGACATCTGGAAACATACGTTTAGTAGAAGATAGAGAGAGAGAGAGAGAGAGAGAGAGAGAGAGAGAGAGAGAGAGAGAAAGAGAGATATCGATAGCTAGAGATAGAGAAAAATGGGGCTAGAGAGCGAGTGAGAGAGAGCGAGAGAAAAAGAGCGAGGGAGAGAGCGAGAGAGAGAAGGAAAAAGAGAGGTAGGAACGAGAGAGAGAGAGAGAGAGAGAGAGAGAGAGAGATATCGTCAGTTATCGATAGCTAGAGATAGAGAGAAATGGGGCTAGAGAGAGAGTGAGAGAGAGCGAGAAAGAAAGAGCGAGGGAGAGAGCGAGCGAGAGAAGGAAAGAGAGAGAGGGGGGAACAGAGAGAGAGAGAGAGAGAGAGAGAGAGAGAGAGAGAGAGATAGAGGGAGAGAGTGAGAGTTACTCACCTCCAACTGCTTCATCTTATGCTTTAAAGCCTGATTCTCGCTAAAGTATATCTGAACCCTCTGCTCGAGCGAGTCCATATACTCCTTCCGCTTTCGTCGAGATTCTTGCGCGGAGAGCTAGAAAAATTTATGTTTCAAAGAGCTAAAAAATTGGAGAATGGCACTAAAAGCCAAGGCAATTGAGCTCTTAGTAATCTTTTCCCGTAAACGAACCTTATTCTTAATTTTGCGCCTGACAATCTTTAGCGCTTCCTCTTCAGTTTTTGTCAGCGGGAATTTTGTGGGGATTGGGTATCCCTCTTGGACGAGGGTTCGCTTCTCTTCTGCCGATAGTTGTACACATCCGTGGCTGCGGACGTCCTGAAAAAGGGTCTGTTAACCTAGGTATGGATCAGTAGCGTGAAATCGGTACGCCTTGGTTTAGGCTTGGCTTAGGCTTGGCTTGGGCTTGGCTTAGGCTTGGCTTAGGCTTGGCTTGGGCTTGGCTTAGGCTTGGCTTAGGCTTGGCTTGGGCTTAGCTAATGCTTGACCTAGTTTTGGATTAGGCTTAGGCTTGGCTTACGGTGTTATACGGTTTTTTGGATTTCCAGTACCTTTAAAAGACCCTACCTGGTCGGTGATCAGCTTCTGGCGGACGGCCATTTCGTGCATTTTGCTGCGTGATCGGTGTTGGGCCTGCAGGGCTGTTAGTCCTTCGGCATCACCATCAGAAAGTGGCGGAGATGGGGATCGGCCTGAAAAATCGAAGTTAAAATTTGCATTTCTCTCTTGCTCTCTCTCCTCACTCTCTCGCTCGCTCGCTCTCTCTCTCTCTCTCTCTCTCTCTCTCCCACTTTTACGATTAATACCATCGTGCCAGTGCCAAAAACTTATTCCAAAAACCAAAAACATCAAAAATTACCATTTTCCTCGGAAGAATCGTCGTCCTTCGACTCGTACGGCTGATGGTGGCGCATCGGCTGGTGGTGCAATTGTGGGGACATGAAGAAGCCGCCGCCCATCCCAACCGGAAGCATGCCGGCTGCAAATACATAGAGGTGATGGGAAAAATTCTTAGTGCTTTTGCATACGCCGTAATTCGTTTGTGATTTCCTGGCTTTATCCCTTTAACCGCTAAACCCCGAGTCAACTATGGTGATGTACTGTGGACAGATACGGAAATTCGTGCTACCGTTGCGCCCGTAGTTAGGGAAAGCTTAACTAAGAATTTTTGACCGGAAACGCCCTTTCTCTCATTCTAGTTCTCTTTGTCGCTCACTAACGCTCTCTCTCTCTCATTCTCTGTCGCTCTCTCTCCGTCTCTCACTCGCTCTTTCGCTCCGTCTCCTTCCAAAAATTACCTGGATGAAGCTGGCCTTGGGCGTGTTGTGTGTGCTGTGAAAAGTGGGAAACTGGTGGTAGGGGACTGTCGCACATCTAAAAACAGAAATTTGCATATTATAAAATTTTATCTCACTCTCTCTCTCTATCTCTCTCTCTCTTTCTCTCTCGCTCTCTACCGCTTTCTCTCTCTCGCTCTCTCGCTCTCTCTCTCTCTCTCTCTCGCCTCAAAATCCACCTACCGATGGCAACGATCCCTGTGCCGATCCGACGTGATGTCCATTTTGAATCGGAAATCCGAATGGACTGCTAAAAAGACTGTTTTGTTACCGTATTCGACATAGACAAAAATCGCTTTAAAGAGACAGTGCCGGCTAAAGTTTCCTACCTGCTGCTACTCGCCGGCGAGTGGAGGAAGGAGGCGCTTCCGGAGAACGGGTTCACGCAAAGTGGCGAGTAGAATTCGGCGCCGAAATCCGTCTAAAATTGGGTATTTGATGGGCTAGGATAATTTGCATGCCTTGATATCTGATGGGGAGGACAAGCTGGATGACGGGGAGACTGAGGTTGAGCCGTGGTAGTCTGAAAATTAGCAGGTTTGAAGGGTTTTGTAACTTCTGCTCTGTTTTTCTCTCGCTCGTTCTCCTCAGTCTTGCTCCTTATTTCATCTTAATATTGATATTTTTTGGGTTTTCTTGGCTTAGAGGGAGCACGACTGCCGAGTTCCTTAGTTCTTTCTCTGCACCTTGCACATCTAGGGTTGTTTCGAAGCATAGCCCCGTAACTCTCTCTCTCTCCCTAGCTCGCTCTCTCACTCTCACTCTATCTCTCTTGCTCTCAGTCTCCCTCTCTCTCTCTCTCTTTCTCCCTCTCTCTCCCTCTCTCTCGCTCTCTCTCTCGCTCTCTCTCCTGTCACGCTCCCTTAAAAAATCCGTCCTAGCTCTTTGTCCGAATGGCCCCAGAGTTCTTTCCAGAGACGTCGTAAACTCTGCGTAACAACCCTCACGTCTCACGTCTCTATGTATATTTTGACAAGGCAGAGATCAGCGTCAACAGGCCTGGGGTGTAAAATTGAGCACCGGCCCCGTCGCAACTATCTCACTGCAGCCCCCAGAATCTCTCCCTGCTTCTAGCGATAAGCCCTTCTTGTTTTACGGCAGCACCTCCAAATTGGGACCGCCGGCTAAAAGAAGTCAGGGGCATTTTTAGGGCTTCTGATTTATGTTTTCACATAATTTAAGAAGAATGTTATACTAAAATATAATAGTATTACATTTAAGCAAAAGTCAAAACAGATTCAGCTAAAAGGTTCGAACCCCGACCCTAAGCTTGAAAAACTAACGCTCTACCGACTGAGCTAGGGTGAAGAGCTCTAGTGGCCACCGGGTCCCTTTAATTTCTGGGCTAACGGTTTCAGATTGCCTCATCAGACACTATCACCTAGATGCAATGCCCACAGCCAGACTACTACTCTTAAACAAATAAAATAAATGAATTGCGGCGGTCGGGGGAATGCCCTTGAAGTGCTGAAAGAGATAAAGAAGTACAAATATTGCGAGAGGGAGAGAGAGCGAGAGAGAGGGAGAGAGAGAGAGGGAGAGTGAGAAAGCAGCTTACTAACGTAAAACGTCGAAAATGGATCTTTTTTGCCTTTTTACGGGAAATTGGTGGAAAGGCCGTGGGTTTTAAGTTGCGTAATGGTTCAGTATACAAGGACATATCCAGAGGTATCCCTTAAACGTACCTTTAAAGCTAAAAACACAAACTCCGGAGAAGCCGAAGCCCTACGCCCAAACATAAACATAAGTGCCTAAGCCAAGCAGAAGCCTAAGCCTAAGCTTGAGCCTAAGTCAAGCAAGTCTTCGCCTAAACCTTACTTCACGCCTTGAAAATTAAGCCTAACTTTCCAAGCACTCAAGTTGGCCAATCTCCAAGCGAGTTTCTGTATTCCTCTGACTGTGATAAGCCCCCTCCTTTTTTAGGCTCAAGCCCTGGCGAAGGTGCCGGTAGTGCTTTTGCTGGCCCTATCTCCCCTATTCAGCCCCAACAAAATATCGATCCACCCGAGATTATGCAATTTATGACAAGCGGAGGGCAGGAACACATTAAGCCTGGCAGAATGGCCAAGGCGCGTCTTTAAAAAGGCGGTCGGCGGGGGGGAGGAGCATCGAGTTATGGGGCGAAAGGGCGAACTCCAGGGGTCAGAATTCTAGGGGAGGGCCCGATACCTGGAAGAGCCATAAAAGAAAATCGCCATAAAAACCTAGGCGTAAAACAGCTTTTTTTGGCCGGAATGCTAGAAAAATAAAGTCCAATTTCTGATTGCTACGGCGGCGAAATCCTCGAGATTCTGGTCGCTAGCCAAAAAAGATGAATACGGGCAAGTAACCAAAGCGGTTTTTGCGTCGAGGGGGTAGATTTTGGGGTTTTCCGATCACTTGAACCTGTCTAGATGAGACGGATTTTCAAAGATCGCGTAACGATCCAGACCTAGTCGACCGCCGGGGTGGTTTTTTGATTTTCCGGTCCATTTAGAGTATATGGGTGGGTGAATTTTAGCAGCGAGTCCAGGACTAGTCGGCCAACGGGGGTCGATTTTTGACTTCAAGGTTCCTTTAGCCTATCGAGATCGGACGGAGTAGTCAGTATAGAGGACTGTCTGGACCTAGTCGACGCTCAGGGTAGATTTTGGGGCTTGCCGGTTCCTTTAGGCTAGCGAGATAAGGCAGATTTTTCACCATAGCTTAACTGTCTAGGCCTAGAGGCCTTGGGGGGTCGATTTTGGGGCTTTTCGGTTTCTTTAACCTAAGAAGATAAGGTAGATTTTCCAATAGACGTAACTGTCTAGACCTAGCCAACCGTCGAGCTCGATTGCCTTCCAAGTCCCTTTAAAAACGACCACTCACCGGGCACTCGCAATCCCCACCCAGCAATCGGAAGCGGTTTGTGCTCGACAAAGTCGAACACCTTGAATTCCGGGGTGCCTGGGTGGAACATTTCTTCGTCAAAACCGAATGAGGTCATCGAGTAGATGGTCGAATTACGGTAGCCCGGTCAGACTTTAGGAAAACTACTGTATAGGTAGAAGGGGGATGGAATAAGGGAGAAGCCTTATTCTGATCGGGGGGGATGGGCATCGCCTCTCCCTCCCTTCCTTATCTCAATTTTGATTAGAACAGAAAGAGGAGCAGGAGGGGGACGCGATGCTAGCCCTTCTTCTCTTAGCTCTTCTGTCTTTCTTCCCCCCCCCCCCCCTTCCACTAGCCTTACCCCTAGTAGTGTCGCGGAAATTTTGGGAGGTGAGGGAATGAAAGGGCAGGATTTTAAAGGGGCCGGGAAGCTTCAAAAATTTATCTTTTTTTAAAGCTATCGAAGCGCTCAAATCTTATCCTAAATCCCAAAATAGAAATTCTAAAAGTTTAGGAATAGCAAAAACGGCTTAGAAACACTTATTCTACTTATATTCAAAAAATTTGTTGACAAGAAAAATCTCCCCGATAATGCCAAAGAACCGGTTTTTTAGCTTGCAGATCGAACCGAATTCTTCACCAAAATTTCTGGACTGTTAAAAACAAAAAAAACTGCTGTTTTGGAATACTAAAACATGTAATGAAAATCATAATTTAGTTAATTAATTTACAACATAAAACTTCTAAAAAATCGTATTTAAAACATTCAGCATCTCTATCGATTTTTCGGCGTTTTTTCGTACTTATCCCAAGCTGCAAATTACAGAACCGGATCTTCGGCGAATCGGGCGCCTTTCAGGTCGGCTTATTCGTCCCTAACCGTTATCTTGTAAAAATCACGGACTCCCGGCGTATGGCTCCCGTTTTTCCGTCTTTGTCTCTACGCGAACGGCCCGCTGATAAATTACGCAAAAGGGCCATTCCGGGACAATCCGCCGAACGGGACGGAGTAAATGGAGTAAACGGAGTAAAATATCGATATTCGAAATGCCGACAAGTCGAAATCTGGCGATGTAGAAATGCCGACAACGGAAAACTGGCAGCTGACTGGTGGGTCAGATAGCCGGAAGCCAAATTGGACAGAATGTCGACACTTAGAATGCCGACAGCTAGAATGCCGACAAGCCAAAGCTTGGAATCGACAGTTTCTTTAGAATCTAGATTTCTTCTTTTCGATGTCGGCATTTTCAATGTCGGTATTTTTCGTGTGTCGGCATTTTCGGTGTTGCCATGAATGCTATCGGCATTTTAGCGGTCGATATCATGGCACGAATTTTTTCGATTTCTTGTTCCCAATACTCACCCGAGGTATCATCCAACGTCTCCAGCGGCTCACATTTGACGTGATCCGCCTGCAAAATTTCGCGGGTTACGGTAGTCTTAAACCTGATAATTCCCCGTCGATACGTCACTCTCTGATACCGGCAAAATATCGAAAAATTTTGTGTATTCTGGGTGATTCACCAAGGGGAATGGCGCATGATTTGGCGCCTTCAAAAACGGGCTGATTAAACGGAGGTTATCAAATTTAGACGAATCACCAAATTGTTTGCGGCCCCTCCCGAAATAGCAATTCCGCAAAGAGATCTCTGCTAGCCTGCCTAGACCTTTACAAAAATCAAAATAGCAAATATTAATTATTTTGACAAAATTTATCAATTTATGTGATTTCCTTCCGGTCCTTTAAAGCAATGGCTGAAAAAAAGCCAGTTATCGATTGCTTTACATCATAATTAGACTAAAAATTACTCAAAATTCCGGCTTTTACGAAATCCCAAAGTTTCTCTGCTCGCTTGCCTCGATTTGAGGATTTTATGTTTTAAAGAAACAAGGAGTGTCCTAAAATTTCCTGCGATTTTCCAAAATTCCGAAAATTTCTTCTTGCATGCCCAGGTTTAAAAAACGTTTATTGTATTTATTTCATGGTTCCGCAAATTGTCATTGCTAGCCTGCCTCAAAAATCCCAACCTCGATATCGTCATTCCCGACGGCAACCGCTGAAAACAGGATATCCTCCCTCAGCACACCCCATTCCTCGTCCATTTCGCCGAGAGGAAAGTTACCCTGAAAAAAGCCAAAAATATTTAAAATTAAATAATTAAACATTTCACACAAAAAAACAATTACAAGGAAATTGTCCAAAAAAAAAACGCGTAAAGACATTTTAGGAATGTAAAATCTTGACAAATTAGGGCTTTTAGAGGATTTTTCCCATGGTTTAACTTACATTTTTAAGCAAGCTACAGTAATTGGCAGAAATCAAAAAGCCCGGAAAATATATACTTTTAAGCTCAAAAGGCCTTCAAAATTTACGTAAATTTTGTTTTCAAGGGGCCGGAAGTCAGAAGCCTAAAAAGTCGGATCCTTGAGATTTTCGAAAATTCCAAACTTCCAAGCCCCTTTAAAAACACAATAAGTTCCAGAAATCGTTGTCAAGACCTAAATATCACCCCCGAATCGGTATACGGTAGCTAAATGGCTCTATTTGGCGGTGAGAACCCGGGGGCCTCTCATTCCGTAATGGGTGGGAATGGGCCAATTGTTGGGGGAGGACAGGCAGTAGCAGAAGAGCCTTTATGCAAATCAGCACACTGTTATGGCAGACCATGGGAATAATCACGGTCTAACAGATCACGGAAAACGCCCCGATTACGTTTGCGTTATGGCAGTATAATGTTAATGGGAGCGTCAGGGCGGAAAGTTGCGTAGTCCGGAAACTTTCTAGGGCTATAACTTTGCTAAAATTGGCTCAAATTTAAGGATTTCTGCCTTTAACAACATCTAGAAATCGAGTTCTTGCCTTTGCTATTGAAAAACTCTTAAGGAATTTAGTTTAATCCATTAATACGCCTAAATATAGCACCGTCAACGCGGAAAGTTGCGTAGTCCGGAGCTTTCTGGGGCTATAACGTTGCTAAAATCCAGGGGCTTCAAAATTTCTAAAAAAATATGGTGCAAATTAAGAGCTACAAAATTATCTATAACACTGTAAAAATAATCATCAGTGAATTTCAACAGGATTTTGAAAAGTTGTGCCAAAAGATTTCCAAGAAATATTCAATTTTCCGGCCTGCCAGGCGCTTTCAAATTGCGTTAAAAGAATAAAGCAAAATACAGTCTCAATTCAGCTATGGTTATATAGATTCTAGCCTCACCAATGATGAGAAGGGGATTTGAATCCTGGCGGATCGGCTCTTCCCCCCCCCCTCGATTTGGGTCGGGGAGATAGATGCAGCTGGGCCAACACCCCATCTGTACACCCTATATCCCCCCAGTCCGACAGCCAGGACTGTCGAGAATAAAAAAGGGGGAACCGCCCCGATTAGTCTGGCCCAAACGATCCGAGAGATCCAACATAGTAAATATCGAAATTTGAGATCCAATTCGGTCGTTAAAGGGATGCCGACGGCATAGACAATCGATTACGCGCGGAAAAGAAAATGTCCCTGCGCCTCTCCCCTGAGCGCGCTCTCTCCCCTGTTGGCTACTTGCCAATTTGTTGATGAGGGGGGATCGACACATGCCGTCGGCAGCCCTTTAAACCCTGGCGGCACGGTCCCTTGAAAGGTTCATTGAGGCCAGACCGCTGGCCACGTCCCTTTTTCGACAATTGGCAAACTGCCAAAAATATATTTAGCCGGACTAGTGCGTTTAAACTAAAAAACGATGTTCGAAGCTTCAAAAACTCAAAAACTCGAAAATTTTAGTAGAAAATCGTCTATTTTTAGTCCGAAAATTCCCTTTTTTGCTGTATTTTTATACCAAACTTGTAAAGTATTTGCGCCTAAAAATAATAAAAAAAACAGTTTAGAAACACTTTCTCTATTTCTCTTAGAAAAATTGACTACAAAGAACGTTAGCTGTCCCGTTCGGGTCCCCCCCCCCGATAATGCGAAAGAACCAAAAAACGTATTTCCGCGGATTCGGGATGATTACTGCGGTTCGAAAGCATTTCCGCAGCTGTACAGTGGTGTAAAGAGGAGTGGTGCGGACTAGCGAATCGTAAAGAGTAAAAAGTGTACAAGTGTCCTAGACCTACAAAAACGATTTTTAATTCTGCGGTGGATCGGCTCCCATTAATGTGTGATCTACAACCCATAATGAACATGAATTTCTGGAAGATTTAAATGTTAAATCAACAAAAACTAATTCCCATTAATGCACCGTGGAACCCCCAAGTTCACTACCCAAAAAAACAGGGGAACCCCGAAAATTTTGAGAATTCAAAGAAACCAGCCCACCCTCCGAACAAACTGATCAAACAGGTCCCTGGGCTCACTGTAAAAACCGTCTGAAAGCTGACCAAATCGAACCCCCACCGGATGCGCCTTTTTTTGCCGGTTGCCGACCAAAAAGGGGATGAAGCCAACCACCGGATGCTTGCGGCTAAAAATCGGGAATAAGCCGGAGCGAGAGAGGGAGAGTGAGAGAGAGAGGGAGAGAGGGGGAGAGAAAGCGGGAGAGAGAGAGAGAGAGAGAGAGAGAGAGAGATCAATCCAAAAAGGGTCCCACTAAATCACCGACCCGAAATTGCAGGTTTCCCCCAGTGGGCTCGATACCAATTAGCACCCAGTTTCGAACTTTTTTGATCCCGATTTTTCGATGATTGAAATTTGTTGGGATCCTCTAAAAATAGGTCAATTGCCGAATGGTAAAATGGGAATTAGGAAGACCCGAACCGCCTCGAAAAGTTGGTCTTCTACTCGCAAAAATGTTTTGAAAAATCATAAAAATTGTTACAGTTGTGCGGCAAAAAAAAACGAATTTTTGAGTTTTATCACTAGCAATGCTAATCTAACGATTCTCAGAATCATGAATTTCTACGGATTCGGCCGCAGCCGCGACACGCGACGCATACGTTGTATGGAACGGTCGAAATCCATTACATAATCGAAAGGCGGGCGCAGGCGTTGCGTGTTGCGGGCGCGGAAAATCGAGGAAACTGAACGATACCTTTAAAAGCATTCGGAAAAAGCATTTTTTAGAAATTGGCCACTAAAAAGTGCTAAAAAGCGCGATAAAACTTATATATTTGAAATTTCTGGAAAAATATGC